AGTAAGAATGTCTCACCCCTTGTTCAAGAATGGCATTTTTCCCTTTATTCAGATTATAACCTCTCACTTTCGATTATTTGAAAAAAAGTCATCTCCAAAATATTGCTTTTTTAAAAACAAGCCATAGAAAGTTGGTTGCAATTTCAGTTTAATCCTCCAGAAAAGACAGAACAAATAATACAACCAATATTATGATTAAACTCAAATATACCAATTGATAAAATAACCCATTATTTTTTTAAATAAAAATAATAAACAAATTGTATCATCTTTGTTAATGATATCATAAATAGGACTTTAGATTTTTCAAAGTAGCCTCCCTTTGCCTTGATGACAGCTTTGCACACTCTTGGCATTCTCTCAACCAGCTTCATGAGGAATGCTTTTCCAACAGTCTTGAAGGAGTTCTCACATATGCTGAGCACTTGTTGGCTGTGTTTCCTTCACTCTGCGGTCCAACTCATCCCAAACCATCTCAATTGGGATGAGGTCGGGTGATTGTGGAGGCCAGGTTATCTGATGCAGCACTCAATCACACTCCTTCTTGGTCAAATAGCCCTTACACAGCCTTGGTGTGTTTTTGGTCATTGTCCTGTTGAAAAACAAATGATAGTCCCAGATGGGGTTGCCATGCTTGTTAAGTGTGCCTTGAATTCTAAATAAATCACAGACAGTGTCACCAGCAAAGCACCCCCACACCATCACACCACCTCCTCCTTGCTTCATGGTGGGAACCACACATGCGGAGATCATCCGTTCACCTACTCTGTGTCTCAAAGACATGGCGGTTGGAACCAAAAATCTAAAATTTGGACTCCTCAGACCAAAGGACAGATTTCCACCGGTCTAATGTCCATTGCTTGGCCCAAGCAAATCTCTTCTTCTTATTGGTGTCCTGTAGTAGTGGTTTATTTGCAGCAATTCGACCATGAAGACAGAGTGGCACAGTGGTCTAAGGCACTGCATCGCTGTGCCACTAGAGATCCTGGTTCGAATCCAGGCTCTGTCGTAGCCGGCCGCGACCGGGAGACCCATGGGGCGGCGCACAATTGGCCAAGCGTCGTCCAGGGTAGGGGAGGGAATGGCTGGCAGGGATGTAGCTCAGTTGGTAGAGCATGGCGTTTTGCAACGCCAGGGTTGTGGGTTCGATTCCCATGGGGGGGGCAGTATGGAAAAAAAAAAAAAATGTATGCACTCACTAACTGTAAGTCGCTCTGGATAAGAGCATCTGCTAAAAGACTAAAATGTAAATGTAATGAAGGCCTGATTCACGCAGTCTCCTCTGAATTGTTGATGTGTCTGTTACTTGAACTCTGTGAAGCATTTATTTGGGCTGCAATCTGAGGTGCAGTTAACTCTAATGAATTTACCCTCTGCAGCAGAGGTAACTCTGGGTCTTCCTTTCCTGTGGCAGTCCTCATGAGAGCCAGTTTCATCATAGTGCTTGATGGTTTTTTGGTTACTACATAATTCCATATGTGTTATTTCATAGTTTTGATATTTTCATTATTCTACAATGTAGAAAATAGTAAAAATAAAGAAGTTCTAAAACGTTTGACCGGTAGAGTATGTATGTACAGTGAGGGAAAAAAGTATTTGATCCCCTGCTGATTTTGTACGTTTTCCCACTGACAAAGACATGATCAGTCTATAATTTTAATGGTAGGTTTATTTGAACAGTGAGAGACAGAATAACAACAAAACAATTCAGAAAAAAAACGCATGTCAAAAATGTTTTAAATTGATTTAGCATTTTAATGAGGGAAATAAGTATTTGACCCCTCTGCAAAACATGACTTAGTACTTGTTGGCAATCACAGAGGTCAGACGTTTCTTGCTGTTGGCCACCAAGTTTGCACACATCTCAGGAGGGATTTTGTTCCACTCCTCTTTGTAGATCTTCTCCAAGTCATTAAGGTTTCGAGGCTGACGTTTGGCAACTCGAACCTTCAGCTCCCTCCACAGATTTTCTATGGGATTAAGGTCTGGAGACTGGCTAGGCCACTCCAGGACCTTAATGTGCTTCTTCTTGAGCCAGTCCTTTGTTGCCTTGGCCGTGTGTTTTGGGTCATTGTCATGCTGGAATACCCATCCACGACCAATTTTCAATGCCCTGGCTGAGGGAAGGAGGTTCTCACCCAAGATTTGACGGTACATGGCCCCGTCCATCGTCCCTTTGATGTGGTGAAGTTGTCCTGTCCCCTTAGCAGAAAAACACCCCCAAAGCATAATGTTTCCACCTCCATGTTTGACAGTGGGGATGCTGTTCTTGGGGTCATAGGCAGCATTCCTCCTCCTCCAAACACGGCGAGTTGAGTTGATGCCAAAGAGCTCGATTTTGGTCTCATCTGACCACAACACTTTCACCCAGTTTTCCTCTGAATCATTCAGATGTTCATTGGCAACCTTTAGACGGCCCTGTATATGTGCTTTCTTGAGCAGGGGGACCTTGCGGGCGCTGCAGGATTTCAGTCCTTCACGGCGTAGTGTGTTAACAATTGTTTTCTTGGTGACTATGGTCCCAGCTGCCTTGAGATTATTGACAAGATCCTCCCGTGTAGTTCTGGGCTGATTCCTCACCGTTCTCATGATCATTGCAACTCCACAAGGTGAGATCTTGCATGGAGCCCCAGGGCCGAGGGAGATTGACAGTTCTTTTGTGTTTCTTCCATTTGTGAATAATCGCACCAACTGTTGTCACCTTCTCACCAAGCTGCTTGGCGATGGTCTTGTAGCCCATTCCAGCCTTGTGTAGGTCTACAATCTTGTTCCTGACATCCTTGGAGAGTTCTTTGGTCTTGGCCATGGTGGAGAGTTTGGAATCTGATTGATTAATTGGTTCTGTGGACAGGTGTCTTTTTATACAGCTAACAAGCTGAGATTAGAAGCACTCCCTTTAAGAGTGTGCTCCTAATCTCAGCTCGTTACCTGTATTAAAGACACCTGGGAGCCAGAAATCTTTCTGATTGAGGGGGGGTCAAATACTTATTTCCCTCATTAAAATGCAAATCAATTTAAAACATTTTTGACATGTGTTTTTCTGTATTTTTGTTGTTGTTATTCTGTCTCTCACTGTTCAAATAAACCTACCATTAAAATGATAGACTGATCATTTCTTTGTCAGTGGGCAAACGTACAAAATAAGCAGGGGATCAAATACTTTTTTCCCTCATTGTATGTATGTATCAATCATCCCAGCTCTGCAGATTTTGCTGCGAAGAGACACGATAATTTGTTTTGGTACTGTCCATATGTAGCTTGTTTTTGGTCGCAGGTTCAGGAATGGCTGAAGAATTGCAACATTTACCTGGAGCTTACTCTGCAAATAGCACTGCTGGGTAAATCGATCAATACCATAATGCTTTTAGCAAAAAAAGGTATCTTTAGTTTACAATCTGTAGAAACTAAGAATAGAAAGGTTCAGAAATTTTGTGAAACATCACAACACAGTTGAAAAATAATTGCAAATAGAAATCAAAACTGGATGGTGTTAGAGATAGATGGGAGGGGTTGAGTGGAGCTGAAGGGTGGGACTAAAAACAACGAGATAACTCATGTAAAGTATACTGTGTCCGTAAAATGTATATAGGTTCAGAACTTTTTTGAACCGCACAGTTAAAAATATATGGCAAATATAACTCAAACCTGGGTGGTCTTCAGAGATAGATGGGAGGGGTTAAGGGTAGCTGAAGGATGGGATTAAAAACAAACAAAACGTAACTATTGTAAAATACATTGTGTCCATAAAATGTACAGTGGCTTGCGAAAGAATTCACCCCCTTGGCATTTTTCCTATTTTGTTGCCTTACAACCTGGAATTAAAATTGTTTTTTATTTTTTTTTGGGGGGGGGGGGGTTGTATCATTTGATTTACACAACATGCCTACCACTTTGAAGATGCAAAATATTTTTTGTGTGTGAAACAAACATGAAATAAGACAAAAACAAGAGCGTGCATAACTATTCAATTTTTAAACAAGTTATTGTTTTCGCTTCACCAATTTTGACTATTTTGTGTATGTCCATTACATGAAATCCACATAAAAATCGATTTAAATTACAGGTTGTAATGCCACAAAATAGGAAAAACGCCAAGGGGGATGAATACTTTTGCAAGGTACTGTATATAGTATGTATAAGATGGAAGTAGAAGCCTAAGTGTTGTTGTCCATTAGTTTACTCCAATTAGGGGAGGAGTGGTACAGTTAGGGGAAAATAATCAAGGGAAATATATTTTAAAAAGAAAAAAAATCAGGGATTGGAAATGAAAACAATTACATTGATGGATGCTACAATCTATCAGCAATATTAAAGCTGATCTACCTCAAAAAATACAATTTTAAAAAGTGACACGTTGCTCAGTACAATGTTTCTTACTTTGACCTGTAGAAGCTGATCAGATAGTGAAGCAGTAAGTAATGTAGCCAGAATAGACAGGCTTCCTGTTTAGATTAAGACACCGCGGAGCAGTCACGAGATACATTTCTCCGGGGGAGTACCTCAATCCAGGGATGACAAATGCGTTGTACTCTGAATTGTCCCATTATCCCAAGTGTTACACAGAGAAGATTGAACGACTGCTAGTTTTTTTGTGAACTGCAGTTTTCGTCCTCATGCTAGCTAGTAGTAGCCATTATGGAATGGCACGTCCCGTTGAACAACAAAGGCTGACATTGCCATTCCAAAATGGCTGCTGTGGCTACTGAGAATTCGGAGTACAATGCATTTCTTATCCCTGGGTTGAGGTGCATTTTTCTAAGCGTTATCTCCCGCCGGCGTCTTAATCTAAATTGGAAGTTTGTCCGACCCCAGTGCAGCTATAAGCAAGCGTAGGGTCAGAATCTATTCTGCCTATATGTAATGCACACAATGATATACACAAACACTGGTAGCATCAGCCCTACTGGCAAGACCAGACATGCACTGCTAAACTAAGCTACTTAAAACTAAGGCCTCCCACACATTTCCTGATGTAGTGAGTAACCTGTCCCTGCACACCCATGAAGAAACCTCTAACCTCCGGGAGCTTTGTTGCAGATCTGGCAGGGGTTCGGTCATTCACGACAGAGCAGGAGATGGAGGTGAGGATCATTGGTGGTGTGGAGGCCTGGGCCCACTCGTGGCCATGGCAGGTATCCCTCCGCTTTACCACCATGCCAGCCTGTGGCGGTGCCATCATCGCCCCTCAGTGGGTTCTCACTGCCACACACTGCTTCAAACAGTGAGTAGTTCTGGAAGTTCAAGTAACAATAAATTGAGTAGATGTATAGCTAGAGAAATCAAAGTAATTATGGATGGTGTTTTACAGGTATAACAAAGTGGATTTCTGGACTGTGATGGCGGGAAAACATGACCTTGAGAATCCTAATGAAGAATGTCAACAGGTGGGATGCACACACGGACGGACTACATTCAAGTCATTAAACATATTTTTTTCTGTTGTTATTCTGCATTGACATTTCAACTGTTAAGGCACACATTTACTTTTGTTTTCAGTTGGTTGGAGTCTCTAAAATAGTCACCCACAAGGATTACAACCGCATTACAAAGATGCATGACATTGCCCTGGTGAAGCTAAAGACCCCGCTGATATTCAACCAGTGTGTGAGACCCATAGAGATATGGATGAGGCCAATCGAACCCAAAAAACAATGCACAGTGACCGGCTGGGGTACCACCAGAGAGAGTCAGTAGATTTCCTACATTTATTTTTGAAGTTTAGTTGCCTTTTTCATCTCTTTATAAGAAAGGTCAGACGGGCTCTTCTGGGGTCATAACTGACATTAAATCATAATTGATCATCCACAGTGAGGATGGTCCTGTTACATGTTTTCCCCTCGTGACCTTTCTCCCCCCTCCTACTCTTCTACTCTCTCAGATGGGCCTCGTGCCAACAGACTCCAGGAGGTGAATGTGACCTGTCTATCCCAAGAGGACTGTAACAAGTTCTACCATGGTGCAGTTCAGCCCACCATGTTCTGTGCTGGAGACCCTGAAGGAGGTGTAGACGCCTGCCAGGTAGTGACCTCAAACACTGACAATGCTTTCAAGTATTTATACCTCTCATTGTATTCTACTTTCATATTAAAAGTCAGTGTGTGTTCTAAGTATTTTCCCATTAATGTTATCCTCGTCTTGTGACGTGGTTGTTCCTGCAGGGTGACTCAGGTGGACCTCTGTCCTGCTATACAGGGTCCAGGTATGAGTTGGCTGGAGTGGTTAGCTGGGGAGTGGGCTGTGGTAGAGCCCAAAGGCCTGGAGTCTATACTAAAGTACAGGTCTACCTAGACTGGATCAATGAATTAATTAAAGGTAAGTACACACTTGGAAGCCCAACCCTAGAGAAATACTTCATTTTTAAAAAATGATCTTTTCTTTTTAACAGGTGAAAAGGCAATTTCAGGTGATGGTGGTACTGTAGCTAAAGGTAGGTTATGTCACTGCACAATTATTTAGCTACCTGAAATAAACTTTTAGGGGGAAAAAATGAATGTATGATTAAATGTCATCTTACTGCCAGCACATATTTTTATTTTCTTGATCAAAACATGGCATTATCAAAACAGAGGATCATATTTAGTTTGACCACTAACCCTCTTGTACCCTCCCTCTCTTCCTGTCTCCCAGAGAGTTGTGGTCAGAGTGAGATATTGACCTGCCGGCTGGACTCCCGCCCAGCAGGGGTGTATGTGACCTTGGAGGGTGAGGTGCGGGTGGGGAGTGTGACAGAGGCGTGCGCCAACTCCTGGCCCTGGCAGGTCAGTCTGCAGTCCAAAGGGAGACATTACTGCAGCGGGACCCTGATCCACCACCACTGGGTCCTGGCACCGCAACACTGCCACTGCAAGTGAGTTAGTCACCAAGTACCGACACAGGACACACACTATCATCTGTTATCTAACCGCTACATGATTGTTCATTTTCTTCTAGTATTACTTTCTATATCTCTCTGTCTTGATGCTTCATTCATTCAGTGGAGTCAATCACCCACCTTCACATTCTTTCATCACACACTTAGTATTGCTCTCTAAAACAGCCCTTGCAATGTCAGTGAGGGTAGGTCAGCTACTGTAGTTCTTGTTCACCAGTCCTATTTCACACAATCAGTGTCCGTCTATTCTCTCCTGTCTTTCAGACCTACAGTTGACACAGTGGTTCTGGGAGGTCACGACCTGAGGTTCATGTCTACCCAGACCATCCTGGTGGAAGAGGTGTTCAGCCACCCCCACGACGGAACCTTCCCTCCGACATCTGACCTCACACTCATCAAGCTCAGTGTTCCAGCTCGATTCGGTAACAAACTCTAACTCTTCCAGTATGGGTTACTTTACCTCACTGATCTGATTGTATTGCTTGAATGGTTTATCTGGCTATACAGGACCGTTAACTTGGCTTGCAGGCCAATTAAAGCATGTGACATACAGTGAGGGGAAAAAAGTATTTGATCCCCTGCTGATTTTGTACGTTTTCCCACCGACAAAGACATGATCAGTCTATAATTTTAATGGTAGGTTTATTTGAACAGTGAGAGACAGAATAACAACAACAAAAATCCAGAAAAACGCATGTCAAAAATGTTATAAATTGATTTGCATTCTGAGGGAAATAAGTATTTGACCCCTCTGCAAAACATGACTTAGTACTTGGTGGCAAAACCCTTGTTGGCAATCACAGAGGTCAGACGTGTCTTGTAGTTGGCCACCAGGTTTGCACACATCTCAGGAGGGATTTTGTCCCACTCCTCTTTGCAGATCTTCTCGAAGTCATTAAGGTTTCGAAACTGACGTTTGGCAACTCGAACCTTCAGCTCCATCCAGATTTTCTATGGGATTAAGGTCTGGAGACTGGCTAGGCCACTCCAGGACCTTAACGTGCTTCTTCTTGAGCCAGTCCTTTGTTGCCTTGGCCGTGTGTTTTGGGTCATTGTCATGCTGGAATACCCATCCACGACCCATTTTCAATGCCCTGGCTGAGGGAAGGAGGTTCTCACCCAAGATTTGACGGTACATGGCCCCGTCCATCGTCCCTTTGATGCGGTGAAGTTGTCCTGTCCCCTTAGCAGAAAAACACCCCCAAAGCATAATGTTTCCACCTCCATGTTTGATGGTGGGGATGGTGTTCATGGGGTCATAGGCAGCATTCCTCCTCCTCCAAACACGGCGAGTTGAGTTGATGCCAAAGAGCTCGATTTTGGTCTCATCTGACCACAACACTTCACCCAGTTCTCCTCTGAATCATTCAGATGTTCATTGGCAAACTTCAGACGGCCTGTATATGTGCTTTCTTGAGCAGGGGGACCTTGCGTGCGCTGCAGGATTTCAGTCCTTCACGGCGTAGTGTGTTAACAATTGTTTTCTTGATGACTATGGTCCCAGCTGCCTTGAGATCATTGACAAAATCCTCCCGTGTAGTTCTGGGCTGATTCCTCACCATTCTCATAATCATTGCAACTCCACAAGGTGAGATCTTGCATGGAGCCCCAGGGCCGAGGGAGATTGACAGTTATTTTGTGTTTCTTCCATTTGCGAATAATCGCACCAACTGTTGTCACCTTCTCACCAAGCTGGTCTTGTAGCCCATTCCAGCCTTGTGTAGGTCTACAATCTTGGCCCTGACATCCTTGGAGAGCTCTTTTGTCTTGGCCATGGTGGAGAGTTTGGAATCTGATTGATTGCTTCTGTGGACAGGTGTCTTTTATACAGGTAACAAACTGAGATTAGGAGCACTCCCTTTAAGAGTGTGCTCCTAATCTCAGCTCGTTGCCTGTATAAAAGACACCTGGGAGCCAGAAATCTTTCTGATTGAGAGGGGGTCAAATACTTATTTCCCTCATTTAAAATGCAAATCAATTTATAACAATTTTGACATGTGTTTTTCTGTATTTTTTTGTTGTTATTCTGTCTCTCACTGTTCAAATAAACCTACCATTAAAATTATAGACTGATCATTTTTTTGTCAGTGGGCAAACGTACAAAATCAGCAGGGGATCAAATACTTGATTCCCTCACTGTATCTAGGATGCTTATTCTGGTGGTGGTCTTCTGATGTGTCCCTAGATGACACGGTGTCTCCAGTTTGCCTCCCACATGAGGATGTGAAGCTGGATGACAGCTGGTCCTGTGTGACAACAGGCTGGGGATCCAGCAACTCGGCACGTATGTACAGCAACATAACTCTACATTCATGACCATAAGTTCTCATGTGATGTTGGTGGCCGGTTTATCCCTGAGGAACTGGAGGGACTCCTCCTGGATCCATAGTGTTTCATCGGTCTTGCTCTTACACAGTATCATAAATAGGCAACAGCCTTCTCTATTATAAATATATAATCTTATCACTTGCTTATCATGTGCTCTCTCCGCATAGCTAAGGTTAGCAGATCCACCCTGCACCAGGCCAGGCTGGGGCTGGTCAACAGGACCACTTGTAGAGAGAGCTGGGGAGAGGACCTCATCACAGACACTCAGCTGTGTACAGACCCTGCCGGCTCTGTCTCCTGCATGGTAAGTATAGTGGGATAGTTAACTCTATAGTGTACTCATGAAGACATGGGTTATGTTTTGGATCAATGAATGGTTGTAAAAGGGTTTTGAACTAACAGTACTGATGTGAATGAGTGGTCTTCATAAAAATGCCCAAGAATGAGGAATGATTCTAAGTTTCACAACATTGTTGTATAGTTACATTGTTTTTCTGTGTTTAACATTTAGTGTAAGTTATCATTCTTTTAAATGTCATCTAGTATTTTCTTATTTCTTCCCTATCTATAGGGGGACTCTGGTGCTCCACTCCTCTGCCAGAAAATAAAGGGGGTCTTCTTCCTCTTTGGGGTGGTCACATGGGGCAGCCCGAGCTGTGACCTCAGCACACCAGCAGTCTTCTCCCGACTATCAGCTTATCATTCCTGGATCACAAACATAACCAACGACATCTGACTTTATGTTTTCACATTATAACAGAATAAACAATGACTTTTATGATCCAGTGTTCATTTTGAGACTTGTGTAAGGCAAAGGCACACAATGACACAGTGTATAATGCAATCACAATTACATGTTCCAATACGTTTGAGAAGAATGTGAAGCACACATGAAGCTGACTATTGTCACATACTGTATGTCTGGTTACATAGGGTTTGTCATAGAGATCTGTTTACTCTAATCTTGTAATTTTTATATACAGTGCTATGAAAAAGTATTTGCCCTCTTTCTAATTTTCTCTACTTTTGCATATTTGTGATACTGAATGTTATCAGATCTTCAACCAAAACCTAATATTAGATAAAGGGAACATAAGTTAACAAATAACACAACAATTACATATTTATTTCATAAACAAAGTTATGCAATACCCTATTCTCCTGTGTGAAAAAGTAATTGCCCCCTTACAATCAATAACTGGTTGTGCCACCTTTTAGCTGCAATTACTCCAACCAAATGCTTCCTGTAGTTGTTGATCAGTCTCTCACATCGCTGTGGAGGAATTGTGGCCCACTCTTCCATGCAGAACTGCTTTAACTCAGTGACGTGTGGGTTTTCAAGCATGAACTTTTCGTTTCAAGTCCTGCCACAATATCTCAATTGGGATTAGGTCTGGACTTTGACTAGGCCATTCCAAAACTTCCAATTTGTTGCTTTTTAGCAATTTTCATGTAGACTTGATTGTGTGTTTTGGATCATTGTCTTGCTGCATGAACCAGCTGCGCTTCAGCTTCAGCTCACAGACGGATGGTCTGACATTCTCCTGTAGAATTCTCTGATACAGAGCAGAATTCATGGTTCCTTCTATTAAGGCAAGTCGTCCAGGTCCTGAGGCAGCAAAGCATCCCCAAACCATCACACCACCACCATGCTTGACCTTTGGTATGATGTTCTCCCAAGTGGCGCAGTGGTCTAAGGCAGTGCTAGCTGTGCCACTAGAGATCCTGGTTCGAATCCAGAGTTTGGCCACCACCCATAGGGCATCCAGCCAATTTGACACAACTGTGTCAACATGGGCCAGCATCTCTGTGGAATGCTTTCGACACCTTGTAGCGTCCATGACCCAACAAATTGAGGGGAGGGGGGGGGGGTGCAACTCAAAAGTAGGAAGGTGTTCTTTACACTCTGTGTATATGCCCATACAAAAACTTGAAATAATACTTTCATAACAAAACATTACAAACAACATGATCTGTTTAAACACAGTCATGGGACAGACGTTCAACCTCCTGCTGTTTATCTGGCCTATAATCTTACACAAGGTTCCTTTTTTATCACAATATGTCAATATTAGTCTATCTATAAAAGCCTGAATGGCATGCTTGGAAAAACTGCCAGTGCCACTGAACGATAATGCTGATGTATCATTCAAACAGGAGCTGCACAACTTAAAATGTCAGGAGTCTTGGCCTTGGGTTGACCTGGAATAACCCCGTCCTCCCTGTCTAGACAGCCAGCTGCCACGACACAACCCATAGGAAATGTCAGATTTAACCGCATTATTTATTTGAATGAAGACCCAATACAAAGATCATAATTTTTATTTTTGTGTAGGCTATGTTAAAAAAATATATAGATTTAGTTCATAGAGTTGTATAGAGGATTCTAGTGCCCAAAAGCCTGTTCTAGAATTGGCAGTGCTGTTGAGGTCTTTCCCCATTTTTTAGTCAACTGAGTGGGACTTTCTATGGGTTAAGGAAGAATCACATAATTCCATCCAGGTTTTCAGGGGATCAGCCAATGAATTATACTCCTGAGAAAACATTCCAGAACTGCAGGTTGCAGCAATTCACCAACCAAGGCTTTATACCTGTTCAAACAACACACGGCCCTTTCAGTTTGTTTACCAACTCATAGAAGTAGTAGAAGAAGAAGTACATTGACTACTTCAAAATGGAGACACATGGCCTCAATAGTGGTGTCCGTGCACTCACAGAAACCATAGTGGGACAAATACAATGTTGCGATCTCTATACAACTCTATGGTTTCGTTTCAAAAGGGCGTGCGGATAAACACGTCATGTTAATTGACTGCTATTATCTCACAGAACAAAACGTATAAGATATCCTAAGCCTGTGTTAACTTCAGACCACTGTATGTGTCATAATACCTAGCGGTCAAACAAGGAAATGGTTTCAATCGTTTTTCCCCATAGGGGATTTTAGAAACACTTAAAATAAGGGCTGTGTTTCATGCAGGCTTACCCTGGCGTGACGTTTTGACAACCGTGTAAATCTCTTTAGGACAAGGTGACTTTTATCAATATATTCGCCTGTGTTTACCCCCCAAAAATGAAACGCTAAATAGCTGCTAATGTGGCTATCATAAAGAACTACAAATGCCATGATGATCTGGAAGAGCCTGCCGAATTGATGCAAAGTTAAGAATATCTGGATTAACTAATGTCAGCTAAATGTAGTAATTAATAAATTGGCTTAATTTCTTTAAATTGACAATTCTGTGAACTGTCTTGTACAAGTTTTAAATTGACACAATACCTGTTAGGAAAGGTGTCAGCTAGATGACGAAAGGAGCTTGCAGGGATTTGTAGTCTTGCATGATGTCTACATTTATGCTAATTACATTTTAAAATCAGAGTAAATAGATGGGAATATATTGATAAGTCACCTTGTCCGAGAGAGATTTACATGGTTATCAAAACATCACGCCAGGGTAAGCCTACAAGAAACACAGCCCTTATTTTAAGTGTTTCTAAAATTCCCTATGTGGAAAAACAATTGGAACCATTTCCCTGTTCGACTGCTAAGTTTTATGGGTATTATGCAACCTCTATTGTGGCCATGGCAAGTGAAAAAACACGCCTTCTGCACCATCCACTTAATGTTTACGTGCTGAGTGAATTGCACTGCAGCCGTTTTATTTCTTCGTGCTGTGTTGAAAGACTTATAAATAATACATATTTTTATATTTATATTTAGCAGAAACGCCTAGCCGTAAACATGGGGGAAACCAGACTACCGCGTCATATGTTTTTATGGAGTATGGCAATTATTTACACGTTTTCTTTTGCATCCCTATATGTCCAGATACCAGGTAAAACAACATTTTACTTGCGCGTATTTGTTAATTGTAATCGAAGGAACCTGATAATTGGTTTGGCTGTTGATGATCATGGAAAAGCGTTCAGCTCTGCATTGTTGAATCGGGTGGATCCCACTATTTCAAAATGTTTCGCTTGTGATGGATGATGAACTAATTAACTTAGTTGCATCGGGTCGGTTAAGTACACCGGGGATTGTAAATATAAAATAGTGTCAACCGAAGTAGCCTAATATGTCTTATCGGATGAAATGAACACTTTCTGAACTAGCCATTGTGGGGTTGGACTGATCGGGCGAGCTAATGACAGCGAAGCTAACCCAACCCTATTTCACTACATTCATTGCCTTTGCTAAAGTGTTACAACCCATAAAACATCACTATAGCCTAGGCCTAGAAAAAGAGAATGTATTTTGAGTGTATATTCAGCAGGCTATTCAGTTTCATATACTTTACATACATTTATGTGTTTGTATTTATTTATAAACAATGACGTTGTGAGGGAAATCATACAGTAATGTAGGGCAGGCTTAGCCTCGTACGAACCATCCTGATGTCGCGAGCTCACAAGTTCGTACGAGGGAGGCTAGGGGAGGTTGGCTTGATAAAGGAGAATGAGGCAGGTTGGCAGTTATGAAGGTGATGTGGCCTTGCATGCTATGGCCACGTCCTGACTGCACTGGCCAATATTGTACAGATGTCCGTTTAGATATTTGCTTGGGGCATGTGGATGTTGTCTTTACACAGTCGCTGTCGTTACCTTTTTTTAAATGTCTGTATCTGTCTGGCTATTTGAGGGTTAGGAATTCCCCAAGAATGTTGACACTGAAGCTTCCTGCAAGCGCTGAGTGCATTGGCAATAACCCGTCATCAGTCCAGTACACCAGCTTGGCTCAGACCCACATACAGTATACAGTAGATGTAACAAAAATTTTCCCCCTCTCCAAATACAAACTTGTAGTATCATCATGCTGACTTGCCATCACTGTCATTACACCACTTTACTTTATCATGCAGCTATCTTATTATGCCAATTGTATCCAAGGTCAAATTAGTTTGATATTGGATATTCGGTTGCTATTCGGTTTTCTCTCCTCAATAGCTCTTACACAAAGTGTGCCATGACTATGAAAATGATATATATTCCGAATCAGGGGAGGATGGACAAAAATTCCCTGTTTTTTTTTTCTATAGATTTCTTTGTTGTTTTGCTTTCCGTCTTCAATAGCTCTTTCTGTTAAAGAACAGGTTGTTGGGGTGGGAGGAGGGTGATTAATGGACGACCCATTCACTCTGGCTGCTACACCGCATGCAGTGATTAGGTCCACCTGCTAATCAACTCAGCATTTAGAACCAGAGAGTAGAACATTGTGTGTGGTTTGTTTGTATGTCTGTCAATGATATTTCTCCTTGTAATTTATTTTTAGATTTTTAGATTTCACCTTTATTTAACCAGGTAGGCCAGTTGAGAACAAGTTCTCATTTACAACTGCGACCTGGTCAAGATAAAGCAAAGCAGTGCGATTAAAAACAACAACAACACAGAGTTACACATGGGATAAACAAAACATACAGTCAATAACACAATAGAAAATCTATATACAGTGTGTGCAAATGTAGTAAATCATGGTGGTAAAGCAAAAAATAGGCAATAGTGCAAAATATTTACAATGTAGTATTAACACTGGAGTGATATATGTGCAGAAGATGATGTGCAAATAGAGATACTGGGGTGCAAATGAGCAAAATAAATAACAATATGGGGATGAGGTAGTTGGGTGGGCTAATTACAGATAGGCTGTGTGCAGGTGCAGTGATCGGTAAGGTGCAGTAATCCTTCACAGCTCGCTCATATATTCGGTGCGGTATTGTCGTCGGCTGTTTCTGTATGGAACGTTCCATGGATTTCACCACTACACCCTGTCGTTCTCCGCTAACATCAAAGCTGTGACCCGATCCTGCAGGTTCATGCTCTACAACATTCGCAGAGTACGACCCTACTTTACACAGAAAGCGGCACAGGTCCTAATCCAGGCACTTGTCATCTCCCGTCTGGATTACTGCAACTCGCTGTTGGCTGGGCTCCCTGCTTGTGCCATTAAACCCCTACAACTTATCAAGAACGCTGCAGCCCGTCTGGTGTTCAACCTTCCCAAGTTCTCTCATGTCACCCCACTCCTCCGCACACTCCACTGGCTTCCAGTTGAGGCTCGCATCTACTACAAGACCATGGTGCTTGCCTACAGAGCAGTGAGGGGAACGGCACCTCCTTACCTTCAGGCTCTGATCAGACCCTACACCCAAACGAGGGCACTACGTTCATCCACCTCTGGCCTGCTAGCTCCCCTACCTCTACAGAAGCACAGTTCCCGCTCAGCCCAGTCAAAGCTATTCGCTGCTCTGGCACCCCAATGGTGGAACAAGCTCCCCCACGACGCCAGGACAGCGGAGTCACTGACCACCTTCCGGAGACACTTGAAACCCTACCTCTTTAAGGAATACCTGGAATAGTATAAAGTAATCCTTCTTCACCCACCCCCCATAAAAAAAAAAAATTGGTGGTTGTCCCACTGGCTATCATAAGTTGAATTAACCAATTTGTAAGTTGCTCTGGATAAGAGTGTCTGCTAAATAATGTAAATGTATTCCAAAACTCCTGAAACCAACATCCTACGCAGGATTTCTGACTAGACTCCGTCAAATTGTAATCATACTATACTCCAGCTGATGTTGGTTTCAGGCGTTTAGGAATGTTTGTACTTTTCTTACCCCCAAAAAACAAACATGGATTTTTGTCCATCCTCCCCCGCAATAAGGCCAGAGGAGGTGTGGTATATGGCCAGTATACCACAGCTAAGGGCTGTTCTTAATCACGACGCAATGCGGAGTGCCTGGATACAGCCATTAGCTGTGGTATATTGGCCATATGCCACAAACCCACAAGGTGCTTTCAGCCAATCAGCATTTTGGGGCTCAAACTCCCAGTTTATAATATAGAATTTATAATTTTCATAGTCATGGAACGCTTTGTGTAAGAGCTATTGAAGATTGAAATCCATAATTGTATTATAAAAAAGTGTGGACTTTTCTACATCCACCCCTGATTAAGATAATACCAACTTCATAGTCATTGCATGCTTGGTTCAATAGCTATTGTCGAGAGAACCAAATATCCACAGAATATCCAATATAAAACTAATTTTACCTTGGTGCCAAATATGTGTATGTCCATTACTGACAAGTGCGGGCAAGATTAGATTCATTGAACGTGAATGAGTCATCATTGCACAATGTAGTGTTTGTGTTTTACTTTATTGTTCTGCTTCTAGTCCCAAATGTGAGCATACTTCCAGTTGGTCCATTAATGTGTGCCAGGTATGTGGTAGTGCCACTTCTGGTCTCTCAGCTTCACCTGTCGTCTCAAGTGTACACTTGTACACTAAATGCACTAGATTCCAATTAACTGTGATAAGACTAGCTGTATGCTTTCAGTCTTTCAATAACAAAGTTATGCCATGCATAATGCTACATTCCAATCAGTTGATCAGTCTTGGCTCAACCCATAAGCAATGTTACAGTAATGTGATAATAATATGCTGGAATACCTTTTTTTAGTGAGCAGTTGGAACTTCTAAACTCCACCCTTCTTTCACTTTGACATGTTACCTTTGACTGAATAAGCATATAGAACAGATAAAAACAGCAGTGTCTCGTTTTCACACACATGACCTTTGACCTATTTAGCAGGGTACCATAAACCCACTTACTGTAAGTATATAAACATGACCTCAATTTACTAACCCCATTCTCAGTAAACACAACCCCCCCCTTCCCCTCTGTTTTGTTTATCCATCCCTGCTCTTTGTCTCTGTGGCCAGGTCTCTATGGCAACGAGGGGGTCCTGCCTGTGCGCCTGGTTGAGCCCCGTGTGGACGGCTCCAGGCCAGTGTTGGAGCAGATACATGCTCACCCCTCCCTGCTGTGGCTGGGGTCCCCGGCTGGGTCTGGACCTGGATGCCCAGCAGGCCATGGAGCTGCTCTGCCTGGCGGGGGCGCTCTTAGCCCTGGGAGCAGCTCTGCTGGAGCCCCTCCGAGACAGCCTGGTGTTCTTCTGCCTCTGGGCCCTCTACCTCTCCCTCTGTCAGGTCGGTGGGTGGGGGTGGTTGTCTTTCTGTCTGCCATTGGTTTGGTTAGATACTGTACCGTAAATAAATGATACAGTAAATTAATCGACATATTTTTCTCTTGACAGGTGGGTCAAGACTTTCTGCGTTTTCAGTGGTAAGTGATCTGTTCTCTGACTACTCTCGTATGGGCTGAATTGATAGCGCGTAACAGGCTGCAAAGCTCTGAGACTTTGAAACTAAAAGTATTTTGTTTACTAAAGTGTTATGGCTGAAGGCAAATTCTACTGGGTCTGGGTGACATCATTTTGTTATCAGCCATGGATTTTACTGCAAGAGCATCAGTGTCAGACGAGAAACCGCTATTGGAACCATTTGCCAGTCAACTTCACTATCGACTCTTCATAATTCTGTGTTGATTACATATTACAACCTGCAGTACAGTGCACCTGTTGTCTATCTTGAGAATAGAAAAGATGTTGAAAGTGTTTATGCATATGTATCAGTCTTAGACATCATGCATATGGTTATAGGGGTAGGCAGACTTTGCATTGAAGGACATCTATCACACATGTAATATGGTTTCAGAGTAATTGACTTTTAGCTAAGCTTTTAGATGTGCTAGAATTGCAACACAGTTACTTCTGATATCTAATTGTAGCAAAGCAAGATGGTGTAAGGCCAGGGCCGGCCCGCCCATTAGGCAGGATTAGGCGGCCACCTATGGCGGCAGATTGACTAGGGCAGCATTTACCGAGCTTAACTGACCAAGACGCACCTCCAACAACACATAACACCTCACATAACAATGACAATTTCTTTCAACCAGAGGCATGTGGGCTTTTTAGGTGAGCTCTGATGCCGCCCTGTGATTAGCAGTGCCCACTTTGTCAAAGGCAATGGAGCAAAATATTTTACTGGTTCATTCCCAACGCGCCTCTCCAGGGTGCTGTTGGAGAGCTGCATCCACCAACGTTCCGTCAAAAAATGATCGGACATAAATAATGTAGCAGATATAGGGTATGGTAGAACGAGTATGCAGCCTTTTCTGTAGCCTACAGGCTGGAGATAAATGTATGACAATGTATTGAGACGGACACTTTTTACATCATGCACGTTTCTCCAATCAAATAGCTTAACGTAAATGGTGCCCAATCAAATTAAAAGGCAGGGCAGCAGGTAGCCTAGCGGTAAAGAGCATTGGGCCAGTAACCGAAAGGTCGCTGGTTCAAAGCCCCAGAACCGACTAGGTGAAAGATCTGTCGGTGCCCTTGAACAAGGCACTTAACCCTAATTGCTTCTGTAAGTCACTCTGGATAAGAGCGTCTGCTAAATGACTAAGTTAAATGTAAAATGCTCTGACATGTTAGCGAACACCATATCCAAAAAACAGGACAGGTCAAAGTCAAATGGACAATATCGACAACGTGGCTACCCACAATTGCTGTCCAGGAGTTTCACCCCATGGGCTAAATTGTCATGATCAGTGGTTTCAAGTTTGTAACTGTACATTTTTGACGAACTGATCATAGCGAAAATGAAAATACTTCTCCATTTCCCACTGTGTAAATGCATTGATTCTCATTGTAAATAGGCTCAGGATAACTCCTGATAAAGTTGGGTAGCTGATATTCAGAGCTTAAATAGCCAAATTAATTAGTCACAGGAATCAGGACTAATAAAGCCAATACAACTGCCTATTTTACAAACGGTAGGTCTACCACTTAGATGGGCATTCATAAAATTCAATTTTGGGCCACTCTGTAGGCTACACCCCAGTAAGCACGGACCGACGTCTTCTTTTGGTCCAAACATAGTCGTCTATGAATGACGTCTTTTTAACTTTCATTCAGAACCGAAAATGAACCTGATTTCAACGTCCGGAAAATATGTATTTTTCAAAGGCCGGAAAATACGTATTTTATTTAACGTCTGGTAAAGACATATTTTAGACGTCTTTTCAACGTCATTTTGCTTACTGGGACTATTCTAGTTTTGCAGGGATATAGGAGGGATTTGTTTTTTGTCTCGCCTAGGGCGGCAGAACAGCAAGGACCGGGCCTGTGTAAGGCAGTGGTTTCCACAGCAACAGCAATTGCATTGAGTGGTAAATAGATAATAAATAGTTGCCAGGTTGTGTTTTTATGAGTAGTCGGGTGTGGGTGTGTCTGAACTGTTTATAGTTAGGTGGATATCCCCTAAGGCACACCATTTGGTTCTGCATGAAGAGAATGCCAACCTACAACCAGTTTTAAGATGCACAGCTACCAGTATGTTGTTTTACCATCTCAGTGCCTCTGGCTCTAACGGCATTGATTTCCTGAAAGGCAGCGTCATTGGATTTGAAGCTCAGTGAATATTTACTGTATTCCACTGTTTTGAGCAGGAATTTAATGTAGCCTTCTGGTGCAGGAATTAAGTGAAATGTAATCTGTTGATTGTATTTGATTTAATACATTTCAACTGTAATTTCTTTGAGACCTGAGACTTTGGGTTGTTGGAGGGATTTCAGTGCCATACACATTATAGTTATGTGAGGAGGAGATGGGATTTTTGTAAAGGAGAGTAGAATTTGATTATTAATGTCTCATTTGATTCCCTTCCATAGGGACAGTCTGCTGTTGGAGGCGGGCTTCCTGACCGTGCTCGTCGCTCCGCTCAACCTCCTGCGGTGGCGCTCGGCGTTCCGTCAGCATGACACCGTAACCTTCTGGCTGGCGCGCTGGCTCCTGTTCCGCCTCACTTTTTGCTCCGGGGTCGCCAAGCTGGCCAGCCACTGCCCCAGCTGGTGGGGACTCACTGGTGAGACGGGAGAAGCACTTATGACACACAACTGTATTGTTCAATGTAGTCTGTTGGGACATTGGGCTGAAATTGGGACTCCTGCTCCCAATGTCAGACCAGTGCAATGTCAGACCAGTGTCCCAACAGACTCCCAATGAGTTGCAGTCCCGAAGCTATGTTCAATGGTACAAGTAATAGTGATACACACTGGCCATAATCAACCAAATAAATTAGTTTTATCCTATGATTGAAGTCAAGTATGTGCTAAATCGGCTCCATTTACCGCTCAAAGCTTGAATAGTCACTATTATCTGAGTAATGATAACATTGCTCATGCTGGTAGATGTATTAATAATGACAATGAAGAAGGAAGGCATGTACTTGGCTTGCCTATGATTGTACAGTGTGCATCATGTAAGGGGTATGTACCTCACCCACCAGCAGTATGCTCATTAGCTCCCATGATGATGATGAGGATGTTTCATGCCTGGAGCCTCACTACACATCAGTCGCAGTTCAGGAAAAGTGTCAGAGATTAGCGATTAGTAAAACGTGTGATCTCAAAAAAGGTTATGTGAGGTGCAGTGTTATGGATCAATCTTTACTCATCCATGTCTCATATCCTTCCTCCCCTCTGTCACCCCATCAACCCCCTCCCTCTCCCCAGCGGTGAACCACATGTTTGAGGCCCAGGGCATCCCCTCCCCCCTGTCCTGGTTCATCCAGCAGTTGCCAGACTGGTACCTGAAGCTGGGGACTATCGGGCTGTTGGTGACAGAGATTGCTGTGCCCCTCCTCTACTTTGCCCCCATCCGCCGCCTCAGACTGGCAGCGTTCTACACTCAGGTGTGTGTGTGGTTACACCAGCAGCTGCTAAACATGAGCATGTCAAATGTCTGAGAAAGGATAGAACACACTGAAATATAGGCTTCCAGTTTGTTTTCAAAGTTTCTGCCTAAATCGCTATCAACTCTTGAGGTCTGGCTGAGAGAGGAGAGTTTTGATGGTGAATGAATGACATCTAACTAGACACATGTCTAAGGGATTTTGAATGTTGCAGGATTGCGACCCCACCCATGTAATTTGCATGATGCCTTTATCTAACTATACCTACCTACTTCTCTCTGTCACTGATAACTAGGCAGCGTACCAGGTGACGTTAATGTTCTTGGGGAACTATGGCTTCCTCCCCCTCCTCTCCCTGGCTCTGACTTTCTCTCTGTTGGACGACGACCATATCAGCTACTGGCTGGGCCACGGCAAGAGGAAGTATGCCAAGAGTATGACCTCACTTCTCTTCTTACGCAACCTTCACATCTCACATTTAACACCAGAGTAGACGTTCAGGCCTGCTTTCTCCCTGATACAGCATTATCCACACCCAGTATGGTATTTAATCTGGTGGAAGTTACTATAAAACACAAAGGCTGTTACAGTAATTATCAGCTTCCGTTTCTTTCTTTTCCTATTGTGCCTCTCCAGTTGGCCAACATTGACATTACACAGTGAGGGGTGCATTGCTGAGTGCATACCAGCAAAACACTGGTTCAGTTCCTATGGGTGTCCTTGAGTCTTGATGGCAGGGTTGGAAAGAGAGAGGTCTGATCTGGCAGGATGTCAGGTGTCATCCTGTTTAAACAAAATACATCATAGAAGTACTTAACATTCCTAATGTCCTAATGGGTAACCCCTTAACTTACAAAATACATGTTTAGTAGCTGGACAAAAACAAATTATGGGCCTCTGTTTGTGATACTAAAAGTACCTAACCTAATAACGTTTTGTTTTTTTTTTTTTTTGCAGCCTGGGACCCAAACAATAATGTCATTGATGGTGTTGCTGGTTGAACTGGCTGTATTTGCTGTCATCATCTATGGAACTAAAGTGTTCTTCACACTGGCGATTGACTGGGAGACCAAGACTATGACCTCCAAAACCGGTAGGTTAACATCTATATAAAGTGCATTTGGAAAGTATCAGGACTTTTTCCACATTTTGATACGTTACAGCCTTATTCTAAAATGTATTAAGTCATCCCCCTCCCCCTTATCAATCTACACACAATACCCCATAATGACAAAGCAAAAACAGGTTGTATTTTTTTTGTGTGCAAATTAAAAAAATATATAAAAACTATAATATCGCATTTTACATAAGTATTCAGACCCTTTACTAAGTACTTTGTTGAAGCACCTTTGGCAGCCTCGAGTCTTCTTGGGTATACACCTGTATTTGGGAGTTTCTCCCATTCTTCTCTGAAATCCTCTCAAGCTCTGTCAGGCTGGATGGGAAGTGTTGCTGCACAGCTATTTTCTGGTCTCTCCAGAGATGTTCGATCGGGTTCAAGTCCGGGCTCTGGCTGGGCCACTCAAGGACATTCAGAGACTTGTCCGAAGCCACTCCTTCGTTGTCTTGGCTGTGTGCTTAGGGTCGTTGGGCTGTTGGAAGTTGAACCTTCGCCCCAGTCTGAGGTCCTGAGTGCTCTGGAGCAGCTTTTCATCAAGGATCTCTCTGTACTTTGCTCCGTTAATCTTTGCCTCGATCCTGATTAGTCTCCCAGTCCCTGCCACTGAAAAACATCCCCACAGCATGATTCTGCCACCACCATGCTTCACCATAGGGATGGTGCCAGGTTTTCTCCAGATTCCAATCAAGTTGTAGAAACATCTAAATTGATGATCAATGGAAACGGGATGTACCTGAGCTCAATTTCGAGTCTCATAGCAAAGGGTCTGAATACTTATGTAAATAAGGTATTTCTGTTTTTTCTGTTGAAAAAATTTGCAAAAAAATTATAACCTGTTTTCGCTTTGTCATTATGGGGTATTGTGTGTAGATTGCTGAGGATTTTTATTTAATCAATTTTAGAATACGGCTGTAATGTAACAAAATGGAAAAAGTCAAGGGGTCTGATAACTTTCCGAAGACACTGTAATACTGTATACCTAGTGACTCAGTAGGTTAACATCTATATAATACTGTATACCTAGTGACCCAGTAGGTTAACATCTATATAATACTGTATACCTAGTGACTCAGTAGGTTAACATCTATATAATACTGTATACCTAGTGACTCAGTAGGTTAACATCTATATAATACTGTATACCTAGTGACTCAGTAGGTTAACATCTATATAATACTGTATACCTAGTGACCCGGTAGGTTAACATCTGTATAATACTGTATACCTTGTGACCCAGTAGTGTTGCTTTGCTTTATTTTATTTCCTGTAGGATGTCAATCATTGATGATACATTATGTTAATAGTTAAGTGATTTGTTTAATGTATTATTTGTCTTTTTTTGTAGCCTTCACCCAGCAACAGTTTGGCAATTGGTTGAAGCTTGTGACAGGGCCCACTATCTGGGTAGGAGTTCTCTCTCTCACCTGGGAGGTGGTGGCAGCCATGCTGGGGTGAGTAGACCGATTTCATACTAAAACAGTATCTGGAATTAAGTTTGTGATTCAAAGATGGTGGTAATTCTTAGGGCCAGGAGTTTTTCAATAACGAAACAGATCTAGTTCCACTTTGTTGCATTTGCTGACCCCAGAACAGTGGTCTGCCCGGTGCAGTGTGAGTCATCCTTGTTTTGCGTTTAATGTCCACTGATATCTTTGTTTCCTCCCCACAGGTGTGTGTGTGTTAGAGGGTGCCTCTGGAAGCTCTGGGGTCTCATCCAATGGGCTTTCTTTGCCTCTGCTGCAGTCACCATGTTTGCTATCAGTGTGGTGAGTCACACTTGTCAATCACACTGGGAGCCTTCTGATTGGTTGTTAACTTGAAAATATTTTTTTATTTCATGCTTGCATTCATCTACTGAGTAAAACCCATCTAATTACTCTAAGTCAGTGTTATGTGTAATAGTGAATCATTTGAATGAATACAGCATAAATCTACCTAATAGGTCTGTTGGAGTTACTATTGATCTATTAGTTAGCACTGTTTTATAAGATTCTCTCTGATTGGTTATGGTGTTGTCCTCCTCCCCAGGTGCCCTACTCGTCCATGGAGCAGGTGTACAGCAGTAAGATCCTACCGGAGGTGAGACAGGCCTACAGCCTAGTGGAGCGCTACAGACTGGTCAGTGCCTATAGCCTGGACAGCAGGATGACTGGGGTGGACGGGAGGTCAGAGGTCGTCCTAGAGGGCAGCATGGACAAGTACACCTGGAAGGTAAGAGAGTGGGGACCAAAATAATAGTTATGGATGAAAAGTTTTCAGTTTAGTTATTTTTTCTCAGATTTCACAATATTAGACATGGAATGTCCTCAATCACATTATCGTCCTCAACTACTTGACTTTTATAAAGTAACAAAATGTTATATAGTTCTGCAAAAGGTGTATCATGTGTTTCAATGCACCTTTCCCCATTGGCCCTCCTAGGAGATAGAGTTCATGTACAAGCCGGGGAACGTGGGCGTGGCCCCTCCAGTGGTGGCCCCTCACCAGCCACGGTTAGACTGGCAGATGAGCCTCGCAGCCCAAGGGACTAGCCAAACAGAACCCCTGGTTTACAAGCCTAGTGCACTGCCTACTGCAGGGCAATAAGGATGGTATGTACTGCACTCTGGGAGAATTACTTCTATTTTTCAATTAAAGTATAGACCACAGACATCTTTGTTTTAATATGAGGAAAGAGCAGGTTGCATCTGGCAGACTACTTGTATTTTGGCTCTTGGTGGATGTTTTAAGGCCTGTGGTCTTATCTAGGATCAGGTCCCCCCTGTCCATTTCATCTTATTGATTATGATCTTAAAGGCAAAACTGATCCTAGATCAGCACTCCTTCTCTGAGATGCTTTATGAATACGGGCCCAGAAATCCAGTGGTATGCGCCTGAAATGTAAAACAGTGTGAGTGTGCAAGATTTACTCACATTTACACACAGCATGTAGGTATGACCACATACCTACATGCTGCACTACATTGCTCACACATGAATCTCTATCTCTCCCAGTGGTGAGACTGATCCAGACAGACTCAGCCCAATACCCATTCAGCCAGGCCCCCCCGGTATACCTCCGAGCCAGCCTCTACAAGTACTGGTTCACCCAGACCACACAGGACGGGTGAGCAGCCTACAACATCCATTATAGTAGTGGGTGTGCTGGGGAGAGAGTGGTAATGGGTTAATGGATTAACCCATGAATTCCTTAGATGATTCATTCATAAAATCAGTTAAGATATACAGTGAACTTAAATATTCACTATATTAAGAAATGTTATTCACAAAATACCCACAAAATGTACATTATGGTATACTTACAGTATGCTAATCGTCAGAATTCGATACAGCCACTTGATACAGGTATTCAACTAGACACAAATGAAATCATTTTCCTATGGTACAGAGTGGTCCGTATTGGTTGTGTGCCCTGTCAGGTCTATTCCTAATGAGTGGTGGAGGAGAGACTATGCGGAGGAGTTCTATCCTGCAGTGCAGCTGGGTGACCCTATCCTGGAGGGCATGCTCAGTCAGCACGGACTCAAGGTAGCTAAGCCTTTTTGCCCAACTGGGTTACATTGTCACTTTGTATTGTGCTAATAATATCTGTACTGTGGCTTATGATGATTGCCCCTCAACTCCAGAAGTGGTGCTGTGTTGGCTATATGGAATTCACGCTCCCCTCTGCTCTTTCATCTGTCACATGACTAGCGTGTGTGTGGAGGTGGTGCATACTAGTGTGTGTGTGTGCTGTGTTGGCAGGCGTACCAAATCTGATTTCTCAGACCTGCATACCAACAACACTTTGTTGTGTATGTACATGTGCTTATATATTATCTTATGTGCAGGAGAAGTTCCCGATCCAGCCCAGTCCTGACTCTCCTCTGGCCCAGGCTCTGAGGCAGGTGCGGGGCCATGTTCAGACTCTACCTGGCCACCTGGTGCTCTGGTCCCTCCTGTCCACCGTCGCCACCATCTGGCTCCTCAAAACCCTTCTCTCTGGGGCCCTGGGGGGCCGAAAGGCTAGACCCACCACAGCCGAACCCAAGGCCAAAAAGGCTAAGGACCAGCCAGCAGAGAAAAGAGGCTCGGCCTCCAGTCTCAAAGCAGAGAGGGAGAACTTTGAGGAGAGGAAACAGGATGCTGACAGGAGCTTTAAGAAGAGGAAGTGATGCGGGACTGCTGCCATGGAACTTCCTGTTACGTTCTTGTTGTTGCCCCTTGTCTCGGGATGGAGGGCGGAGAGAAGGGGTGTTACCTACATGTAAATCTCGGGTGTTTCTACAGTAACTGCCAATCCGACCAGCTCTGTGACTCGGAGACCACCACTGTGGCCTTGTATTCAGTCAGTTCTCATCTGTCTCTCTCACACACACACATATATACTGTACATACACAAGCAAAAACGTCTATTTTCTCTGTGCCTCCTTTCGTCACCATATTCTCAGGTCCGACTATGGATGAGTCTTCAGACATGCCTACGGGTGAGTCCCTGACATGACAGTACAGTGGTGCTTTTATGAGCTATTTTAATTATTTTAGCTTTGCCATCTGTTCTTCAGGGAACACTTTATCTGAATACTTTATCTGAATTCTGGGAATGCATTCATACATTTTAAAGGTTGTTGTCCAACAGTTGTTTAATCTTGTGCTATGTCTTAATATGATATTCAGGTATCCAAAGTCATGCTAGGCTGGGTGCAGTTATTGTGCAATGGTGAACCCTTTCATGGACCGCTGAGATGAGTTTTACTGTATCAGACAGACTTGTCAACAGTGGTTCTGTGTAATGATATCAATACCTGGGTCCTCTATCCTGTCCGTGAGAAACTGTATAGCGACATCGTCAAGAATACTGAATTCTGAAAGCTTTGTCCTGCTAAACCCTTTGCCCTTAGAACAGCAATCCACAGATTTAACTTCAAAACCCTTTTGTCGCATTATTTTGAACAGCTTTAATGCATAACTGCTCCTAAGAAATCTCTACATTCCACATCTGTGTACATTTCTTGAGACGTGTATTAGGTTAAAGCACTGCTGCAAAATTTCTGGGATCTAAGGAGAAATTCCAAGCCCTAGGGCGCTATTCAATCTGTATCGCTATAAAAGTGTAAAGCTACTTTTTTACTGGTCAGTGTTTTTATTCATGACTGTATGTTGAAACTGAACACTTAGATTTGACAAACTACAGATGAAAAATGTAAGACAAACTTTCAGTGCTTGTCAGAAACGTACCTTTCTATCTCGTCAAATCTAGTTGATAAGGTGTGCTTCTGTCATTGCCAGGTATACTAACAGGTCTGCATGTGTTGTGATGGAGTCTGTAGCTTGGAGCTTGAATCCCTGCTTTTACATTTGTCTGTGGGTTCAATCCTTAGCGCTCATGCTTTTTAGCGATTGGACCCGGGTTGATTGTTCCTATAGAAACTGACACCTCTCAGAGACCATTGACCAACAGGTGGTGCTCTTTGTGTTCTCTGCATTTCTTCATGACAAATGTACAGGGAGAAGTGTTCAGGGTGAAAGAGCCAGTGGCTCTCTGGTAAGGATCTCACCAATGAGGTATGGGGTTGTAGGGTCAGCCTGTGTGTGGCTGTGTTGACACTCAGTAATGGTTGGAAGGCTGGTAGATGTCATGGGGGTGAATACCTTGGGTCCCCTCCTATGAAGAGTAGTAGCAGATATGGAGAAAAACTCCTGGGGAAAAAGCGGGCACTTCGTTTTTAAATATAGTCTAACTTTTTTTCCTCCATAACCACTGCTCTTTGCTGTCTGTGAATCACAGGGGGAACCCCAAGACTTTACCCCTTCTGCTTATGTTATCACAACCTTTCAGCCAATGCCTCCTTTGTGTGGCAACTACTCAGTGGTCATGACTTACTGACCTGCAGAGTCCTCAGTGGGCAACCATGCCCCAGAGTTCAATCCTACAAACCTTATAGGCCTAATACCAGAGCCAGAATCCTTCACACTTTGCTTCATAATTTGACATTGAGAGTTGGGGTGATATGTATATTTGGCTGTGGTTAAAAATGTTATTGAGTGTGTTGGTTGGCTGAATGGAAAGATTTGCTCAAGCTTTGCTGCAAATGTTTTATCAACAGAATAAACAGACTGTTGCATCTGGTTATTGCCATTTCATACTCGTAATAAAGATTTGAAATTGTGGGTAAAAACCTTCTTGACAGCAAATACTTGTTTTGTTAATTCATATACAAAAAAATACATCTCATTTAAAGATCGGTATAAGACTTCATTTAAGCTCATGATTGTGCCACAGGTAGACTGGTAACTAGACAAGGCACTGAGAATGAGTCCATAATGAGGTTGTTTTGTGGGAGACAGAGCCCTCTTTGTCCTTAGGGCACTGTCCAACTGTCTCTCTCAGAGGAGAATAGTTCAAAGATAGTAGTCTTCGGGCTCGATTCAATCTGTTTCGTGGAAGTTTAGCGCTATAGCGTGATTCCAATTTAACGGCAATGTTCACAGAGAATACATTCACGGTACATGCTGCATATGTTGCCGTAATCGGAAATTACCTTTACATTTCAATAGTGCTGAACTTCAGCGATATGGATTGAATTGAGCGTTTAATAGTCCCACAGTGCTGCCCTCCACTGGTCAACATGTGTACAACATGCAGCAGCACTCCTCCCAGCTTTACCAGAGGACAGAGGAGAGTGAGGACTGTGACGTCTCTCTCAGCAGTCCTGGAGCAGGTCATACGGGCCACCCTCTACCACCTGGTGCTTGTCCTCCTCCTCCTGTTAACACACATTCATATGTCATCTGGAGTTATGGTATCATCCCTAGAGTAAAGTGGCTACTTTTCACTTTGTACCACACACAGTTCAATGGCATTCATATTCATGCACATATTTTTTTCTCCAGTGCTTGGTATACAAAGAAAATAGGGTGGGATCACTTACAGGAAGCTGAGATGAAACTGGTTCACTTGTGGCAGGGGCGGAGTCGTACGTGGGGTTAACGATACTGGGGTTGAAGATGGCAGGGTTACAGTCTGGAGGCGTCTCGTCCTCATCCTGCAAAAGCGGGCAAAGGTCAATTATCAAGTTCGAGGTTCCCCACGTTTTATTGTACATTTAGCTTCTTAATAAACAGAATATCTGAATATCAGTAAACAGCCGATTGCCTGCAATGAGACAAAAGGTCATAGTTGAATGATGTGGCTGTGCTGTGCTGAATCAGTGGATGACCTCAGAGGAGGAAGGGGAGGACCATCCTCAGTGAATTTCATAAAAATTGTCATGTTTAAAAAGTTATTATTTTTAGATAAAACTATACTAAATATATGGACATGTCACAGTAGCCTCAACAGCACTCTGTAGGGTAGCACCACGGTGTAGCCGGAGGACAGCTGGCGTCCGTCCTCCTCTTGGTACATTGACTTCAATACAAAACCTAGGAGAATATTGGTTCTCTCCCCCTTCCATAGACTTACATTTTCTCTCGACCTGTGTGCAGCTACGTTGTAAACTTTCATTTATAGGCTAGGTTGGAACAACCTCATGATGGGTATAGGGAAAATGTGAGTATCACGTAGTAGCCTAAACCTATCGATGTTACATTGAACTGGGTGAATGGAATATGAATGACAGTCATCCAATATGCTATAATAGAAATAAGGCCATGCTCATGAAAAAAAAAATGTGTCCTCCCTCATAAACGGCACTAACCACCACTGGTCTGAATGTTGTGCAACAAACACACTCACCTTAAAGTAGTGGAACTGGAATGGTTTGGTCTTGTGGGTGTAGAAGTGGTAGCCTACAAACCCAGCCCCAGCCATCAGCATGATCAGTAGCACAACTCCAATCCCCATCCCTGCCTTGTGACTCGCGTGGAGCTGGGGGACCAATCACAGATAGGGTCAGAGGTCAGACACAGGAGTCCAATACCTGACCTTAACAACTGATTTAGGATCAGTTCTCACAATTTGAGTCAGTCCTAATCTTAACCATCAACTATCAATAAATCTGATCAAGGACCAGTAATTTAGCCACATCTCATCAGAGATCAAGGAGAGAAACTAAACAGGAAATTATGTGGGTGGTCCTCTGTAGCTCAGCTGGTAGAGTACGGCGCTTGTAACACGCCAAGGTAGTGGGTTCGATCCCCGGGACCACCCATACACAAAAATGTATGCACGCATGACTGTAAGTTGCTTTGGATAAAAGTGTCTGCTAAATGGCATATTATTATTATTATGTAATCTCACCGCTATCCGAGGGGTTGGGGCTTTGAGGGGTCCCTGCAGCACATGGATGATCCCATTGGATGCCAGGATGTCGGAGTCAACGATGAAGCGATCGTTGATATAACGGGAGGAACTCTACAGAGAGAGATCAGGAAGGGGCAAGTTTGAGCTCACTGAGAATACAATCATAAAGTCAAACGTTATTTTCAGTGGTAATCTCTGTTCTATAAAATACATATACGTATATGAGGCTCGTTCAGTAGCTAATTTTCAAATTTTCTCAAACATCTTAGTCCAATCTAGGAGACCTGGTTAAACAGAGCAACATATAATAAGTTCATATAACGGGGACTGAAAAACAACAGAAAACCTGCGTTGTACACTGAGTGAATGAACACAGTACAGTAAGTACAGGGATGATGTGTACGGTACTGTTGCTCCATGTCTCACCAGGGCCTTGGGGTTGAGGAAGTCAGCGATACCCAGGACAATGAGACTTTGGCCCAGCCGGGTGCGGATACGGCTGCCGTTGGTCAGGTCCTTCAGGGCCAAGGCCCGGCCCTCCGAGAGATGGTACTCCATGTCTCTGTGGGTCAGTGTCTGCACAACACAGGAGAGTGTATGTGTACACATTTATACAGACTGTATACATGTTCATATACGTGTGAGTAAGGACTCTATTCAATCTGTATCGCTGAAGCGTTAAAGATTGCGCAATAGACATTTAAAGGTAATTTCCGATCGAGTCGACATATGCAGCGTTTACCGTGAATGTAGTCTCCGCTAACGTGGGAATATTGCCTTAAAATTTCAATCAAGCTGTAACGCTGAACTTCCTGGATTGAGCCCTAAGTCTATTCTCTGGTTATGTCTAGTTGTAGTCATGCACTCCAAAAATCTGAGGGGGCACAAAGTACGTGAGGATGGCTAGGGGGTGGTTGGAGAATTTTGCATTTATCAAACACCTGGAAACAGCTTTTTCCTACGATCTAGAGCCATAATCATTATGCTTAATTCTATATTAAAATTATGTTTATTTTTCTGCATATCTAAGCATACCTCTTGAGCTGTCTGTATCAGTGGAGGCTGCTGAGGGAAGGACGGCTCATAATAATGGCTGGAACAGAGCGAATGGAATGGCATCAAACACATGGAAACCATGTGTTTGGTGTATTTGATAGCATTCCACCTATTCTGCTCCAGCCATTACCACAAGCCCGTCCTCCCCAATTAAGGTGCCACCAACCTCCTGTGGTCTGTATCCTCCTGACTGGTGGTTATATTTTTAAAGAAACTAAATAGGCTTCTTTGCATCTCTGCTAAAATATGGGTAATGGATTGAAAGGAATGTGAGTCTTATTCAGTACATTTAGTAATTGCTTGCTTTTTCTAAAGTCCACCAACTTTGTCAGCAGGCATGCCAATTAAGATAATTGAACAAGCTAGCTACTCAAAGTTGCTGGATATTGGCGGGAACTGGAACATGCTGTTGTACACGTCGATCCAGAGCATCCCAAACATGCTCAATGGGTGACATGTCTGGTGAGTATGCAGGCCATGGAAGAACTGGGACATTTTCCACTTCCAGGAATTGTGTACAGATCCTTGCGACATGGTGCATGATCATGCTGAAACATGAGGTGATGGCAGTGGATGAATGGCACAACAATGGGCCTCAGGATCTCATCACGGTATCTCTGTGCACTCAAATTGCCATCGATAAATGCAACTGTGTTCGTTGTCCGTAGCTTATGCCTGCCCATACCATAACTCCACCACCACCATGGGGCACTCTGTTCATGATGTTGACATCAGTTAAACGCTCGCCCACATGACGCCATGTCTGCCATCTGCCCGGTACAGTTGAAACCGTGATTCATCCGTGAAGAGCACACCTCTCCAGCGTGCCAGTGGCCATCGAAAGGTGAGCATTTGCCCACTGAAGTCGGTTCAAGACGAGCACTCAGAGACGGTTTCTGACAGTTTGTGCAGAAATTCTTCGGTTGTGCAAACCCACAGTTTCATCAGCTGTCCGGGTGACAGGTCTCAGACGATCTCAGACGATCCTGCATGTGAAGAAGCCGGATGGGGAGGTCCTGAGCTGGCCTGGTTACATGTGGTCTGCGTTTGTGAGGCCGGTTGGACATACTGCCAAATTCTCTAAAACAACGTTTTTAATTATGAGCATTTTTTATTTTTCAAACAGGACAAATCTGACAAATCTCTGGTGGTAATGTACAGGGCTGTGTGTGAGTAGCTGTGTGAGAGGGTGCATACTGTATGTCCGGGTGTGCATAATGCATGTCAGTGTGTCTGACAGGGTGTTCTTGTACCTGGTTCTGGTACAGTCCGGTATTATCAGGTACAAACAGAGTGGACAGGATGGTCAGGTTACTGAGGCGCTTCATAAACTGTTTTCCTGACTCTGACATCTGGGAGTAGTTCAGGATTTGCTGCAGGAAAAAAGGACTCTGGATCAGTAACAAACCATTGTGAGTGAACATACAAACCTGAATAGAATGATACCATTCAGATACTCACAGAGAGGAAGTTGGAGAAGGTAGGCTTCTCAGTGAGGACCTGCAGGAGGTTTCCAGTGCAGGAGTATCCATCTCCTATATAACCTGCTTTACATTCACATTTCACCTCTGGATTGGGAGACACACACCTTATGAAACACCTTATAAAACACACATTTGAAACACATAAAGAGGGCCATCTCTCGCTCTCTCCCTCCCCTCTCAATCATTCCCTCCTCTGATCCCCCCCCCCCCTTACCCTTGACCCTGTAGCAGAAGGTGTCCCAGGTCTCACTGAGATTGCTGCGTAAGCCGTAGTCTACGATGCCAACGTGACCAAAGCCACACTTGGGGTTGGAGTATGTGGTGGGGTAGGCCACTCTGGCCTGGTCCAGCCAGCTAGCCGCACACAGGTTGAGCCCGGCCTGGAGACAGGGGCATCAGAGTGTTAGCTAGCAACTCTACAGTGAATAGTATGTGTCTGTCTTTATGTGTGTGTAAATGTGTTTGTGTGTATATTTGCTAGTGTGTGTTAATGTGTGTGTGCTCACCTGCTGTGCGTAGGAGAGCTGTGTGTATGTGGCGATGGTTCCCCCCTCTCCGGTGCAGGCCTCCTGGGCCGATGTGTAGTTCAGCTTGTACTGTCCCTTGGTGGACCGGAAGTGGAACACACCAACTGTGCTGTCTGGTGGGGGGTGGTGGGTGGGGGGGTACCAAAGGTAGAAAACGTAAACATCACAGCATATCACACACCACATATGTGCGTTTGGGTTTTAGAAAAGAGCAATACTGTATATAAATCCTATGTATTCTTCTGCAGACTTTAAATGAAACTCCTATATGAGGAGTGCACAGTATGTATGTGTGTGCATGTGTGTGCGTGCATGTGTGTGTGTGGCGTACCCTCGTAGTGAAGGTCGGTACACTGGGCGTCAGAGTGGCACTGCGCGTTCTCCTGGAGACAACGGTTCACAAGAAGCTCCTTCACCTCACATGTCACACCGTCCCCTATGTAGTTATCCTTACACACACACTTCTTCTTTCCCTGTAGACACACACACACACACACACACAAAGATGAATTCATATTTAAAGCAGACATATAGCTGACCTGGTGTATGTACATGTACTTACAAATAGCAATAACATTTAACTTTTACTTGATCAAGTAAAAGTACTCTAATAAGTTACCATAGCAACCCCTGTAGTACCCATGGCACCCCGTGGCTGACCCCTTACCGGCCCAGTCATGGTGCAGGTGGCGTGCTCGTGGCAACCCCCGTTGTCATCGACGGAGCAAGGGTCTATGGGCCGACAGATGAAGCCGTCCCCAGAGTGTCCCTTAGGGCAGGTACAGCTCACCTTCTCCCCCTTCTGACTGCACTTAGCTCCCTTGGCACAGCCACCGTTCCAGAACTTACACAGGTCGGCCACTAGAGGGTGGGGGAGAGAAGGAGGAAGGAACAGCCAAAGGAGCAATTCATGACACAGAAGAGAAGCAGTGATCAACAGTGATGTACATATATTGTTTTATGTGCGTATACACAGTATGTGTCTGCATGTGTGGGATGTGTGTGTGTAAATGTGTGTGTGTGTTGTAGTACTCCAGGGTTGTCTCCTCAGGCCATTACCTATGCAGCTGATGCCGTCTCCCTCGTAGAAAAGTCTACATATGCAGGTATTGTTGTCTTTGCATATGCCGTTCTGAGAGCAGGTTGGGGAGCAGACTGGACCCTCCGCTTTAGGGAGAGGGGGATAAGGGTGACAGGAACAGTTAACATCAAAGTTTAAATGACAAATATCAGTTAGAAAATCTATTTTAAATATAGTAGAAACTGCCATTTCAAGATGATGGCTCTTGGTCTTCCTTTGTGTGGTGGACATTTTGTAACTTGTGGTTCTTTACCTAGTTGTGTCTCACAGCGCTGCCCGGTCCAGCCCTGTTCACAGAAACAGGAGCCTGTCCCTTTAAGGCCATCTTCACATGACCCATGCTCTGTGCAGTTACATGCTGAGGAAAAAAAATGACATCATATCACAAGTCTGGTTCAAGATTCAGTATGGAGAATGATTCAAGATGATACACAATTAAACCACACAAGTTCAAGATGAAATTCTTCACACAAGGTAGCACAACAAATCTTGAGATTAAGGTATCCACACTAGAATGCTACACACCTGTGCAGTCCGGTCCATAGTGGCCTTCTTTACACAACTCACAGGCGTCGCCCTGGAAACCCGTGTCACATGTGCAGTTACCGTTGCCTAGGTGACCGTCATCACACTTTCCATGGTTAAAACAGGGAGAAGACTTCCCGCCAGGACAAACTTGAGATAAACACAAACAGGAAGTCAAAGGCGTGATGGGAAAACAACTCAGATCTGTAGTCTTTCACTTCAAACACCTTTAACAAATGCCAATCATATTTCTGAGACTACATGAGACTTTTGGAGCTAGTCTTTGAGAATTACATTCTTTATGGGATTTTCACCACCAACTGTCATTGTTGTCCTATGTATTAGGATGCATTCCAAATAGTACCCTATTCCCTAGTACGTTTGACAAGTAGTGCACTATAAAGGGAATAAGGTGCAATTTGGGATGCAGTATTGGTATGATCAGGGAGATCTGAGGCAATTTTGGGGAGTTCTTACCCAGACAGTCACGTCCATAGAATCCAGGACAGCACTTGGGTTGCCAGAGGACCAAAGTACATATGGCCTGGCAGCCTTTATTCATATTCAATATCATGGGCAGGTCACATTTCTTCACCTCCTGTAGAATACATATATAGGGGCAGTATTTAGTAGGGGACAGATGCAAGTGTTATATTCACATAACAGTTACGACGGATGGACGGATGAACAGATACCTTGACTTTGGACCCAGGGGGGCAGCGTGTTGATGATGTGCAGAATGCACAGGGTAGCTATCACACAGGAGAAACACAGAAAAAACATTAGAAGACAATAATAATTCTAATCAGCTTATTCCATGCTAGCAATAAAAAAGACTATCTACTGTATGATATGGTCACACTCACCGGGAAATCGACTGTTTCCAGTTTTGTCACAGCGACCCCCGAGACTGGGTGGGTTCAGCAGACAGTCGATCCCATAGGCTATCCCACCATTGAAGGGGAGGTGCCTCTGGATGATTCGGCAGTTCCCGTCGTTGAGGAAGATTTCACCCTGTGGAGAAAAGTACATCTCTCAGAAAATGTTGGCTTTTGGGTCAATCCAAATACCACAAGATGGCCTTCCTTTCTTGCCTCAAAATTTATTTTATTCTGCATGTTAGTGTTGTACAAACACACCACTACTTTGTTTTACTCACTATCTTGTCCAGCCCTCCACAGTTGGCTTTGAGTTTGGATCCCTGGAGCGTCCGTATTGGATCCATGTGAACCAGCTCTGCTGCATACACCTTGGTGTCTCGGAGGATGTGGTATTTGAGGTACTCCAGCAGGTGTCCTCGGTTCTGTGTGTTGTAAAGGAAGTCTTTCTGCTCCTGGGGCAGTGCGGCCATGGCCTGGTCCGACGGCAGGAACAATGTCACGGGCTGGTGGAGGGGGTCGTTCACCATGGCCATCACATCTGTGTCCTGCAGGCGAAACAGAAGAACACCTTCTTTAACACTTTTTATGGGAGACGTTTTAGATTGTTATTCTCAGTATCCATAAAGGAAATAGGAACTTCACAGGGACAATACTAACCAACAGCAGTTTGTAGAAGGTCTTGTAACCATTACGATCAGCCACATCAGTGAGGTTCAACTGTGAAGGGAGAGATGGAGAGGGAAAGAGAGAAAGAGGGAAAATAGAGAGATGGAAGAGGGACAGGGAGATGGTGATGAGTTATCCCATGACAGATTTATACAGGTGTATTGATTACAAATAGTCTCTGTCTTTGTACATACTGGCCCCTCTATCACATCAGCCTTCTTCAGGCTCTCTGGTATCATGAAGGTGTCAATCTCATGGATGATCCCATTGATGCTCGGGTCATCACTGTGCACCACTTTCACCATGTTGTTGATGAGGATGGTACCCTGGAAACAAGGACAGAATACCTTAAATCTCTCACCACAACCATGGAATCTCTTCCTCAAATGTAGCAGAGGAACCAGATGCAACATCTATACTATACTTCTATACGTCTCAAGGTATATAAATAATGTCCAATCCGTTATGATAATAAATGGTATCTTGGATAATAATCCACAGACATTGAAGCAACCAATATAATCCACTGGGAGTGTGGTAATCTCATTGGTTACCTCAGAGTAGGTGATGGTCAAGACGTCTCCCATGAGAGTGGTCAGATTTCTGGGCGTGGTCAGGTCGCTGGCCAATAGGGTATGACATGACACGATATGGTAGCGAAGCATCTTGGCCATCTTCTCTCTCTTCGAGGAATGCCTAAACTCTTTTGCCTAAGAGCAAGTCACACACAGACATATAGAAACAGGTGCATGTACACACACACAGACACACACACACACACACACACTTTCCTACCATTTCCCCCTGGGCGAAGGCCTCAGCTGTTGGAGCAAAGACTGTGAATGGACCCCGGCCCTTCAGAGAGATATCTGCTATCTGAAAACAAACAACGTTCAACCAACAAGATCTTCAGTTCATTTGCTAATATTTTAGTAAACAGGGATTGTGTTGTGCCTTTCTCACTAGGATGTATAACTTAATCCAGAACATAAATAAAAGTGTTCTATTGGTCAGTGAGAGACTCACCATCAACCCAAGATAGAAATCCCTCAGTTTCCTGGTGAGAAGCTCCTGTGGATGAAAAAGATAAACACTAATCAAAGATCGAATGAAGAGTGAGTGAGTGAGAGAGCGAAAGGGAAAGAAAGTGGGAAAAGAGGTGTGTGTATGTGTACTTACAAATGCCAAACAAATTGAACTTTTACTGCTATTTGTAGTCTCCTGTCCTACTCACCTTGCCCACAGTGCCTTTACAGGTGATGCCGTCGCCCACGTATCCGTCCATACAGGTGCAGCTGCGTTCCCCTGGACCAGTCATATTACACCTGGCGTACCTGTGGCAGTCCCCGTGTTTCTGCCAAGAGGACCACCACACTGTTACACTGTTCACTACATTTACAATGTTCACCACACTGTTACACTGTTCCCACACTGTTACACTGTTCACCACACTGTTACACTGTTCACTACATTTACAATGTTCACCACACTGTTACACTGTTCACCACACTGTTACACTGTTCACTACATTTACACTGTTCACCACACTGTTCAACAACATTTACACTGTTCACTACCACCTGTTACGTTACACTGTTCACTACACCAATGTTCACCCACTGTTACACTGTTCACCACACTGTTACACCAACTGTTCACTACATTTACAATGTTTCACCACACTGTTACACCTGTTCACCACACTGTTACAACTGTTCACACACTTTACAATGTTCACCACCTGTTACACTGTTCAACCACGCTGTACCGTACACCTGTTCACCACACTGTTACACTGTTCCCACACTTTTACAATGTTCCACACACTTTACACTGTTCACCCACTGTCACTGTTACACCACACACGTTCACCACACTGTTACACTGTTCACCACACTGTTACACTGTTCACCACACTGTTACACTGTTCACTACATTTACACTGTTCACCACACTGTTACACTGTTCACCACACTGTTACACTGTTCACTACACTTTACACTGTTCACCACACTGTTACACGTTCACATACTTTAAAGTTCACACACTGTTACACTGTTCACCACACTGTTACACACAACTGTTTCACTCCCCACTGTTCACTGTTCACACTCGTTCACCACACTGTACACCTGTTCACCACACACTGTTATTATCACACGTTCAATGTTCACCACACTGTTACACTGTTCACCACACTGTTAATTCACACTGTTCACCACACTGTTACACTGTCACAACTGTTCCTCACTACATTACATGTTCACCACTGTTACACTGTTCTCTACACTGTTACACTGTTCACTACACTGTTACACTGTTCACCACACTGTTACACTGTTCACCACACTGTTACACTGTTCACACACTGTTACACTGTTCACTACTTTACACACTGTTCTTACCACTGTACACTGTCACACTTTACACTGTTCACCACACTGTTACACTGTTCACCACACTGTTACACTGTTCACTACATTTACTGTTCACCACACTGTTACACTGTTCACTACACTGTTACACTGTTCACCACACTGTTACACTGTTCACCACACTGTTACACTGTTCACCACACTGTTACACTGTTCACCACGACTGTTACACTGTTCACACACTTACACTGTTCACTTCACACATGTACACGTTCACCACACTGTTACTTCACAACTGTTACCTGTTCACTACATTTACACTGTTCACCACTGTACACTGTTCACTACTTTACACTGTTCACCACACTGTTACACGTTCACCACCTGTTACATACACTGTTCACCCACCTGTTACAACTGTTCACACCTGTTACACTGTTCACGTCCACTGTTACACAACTGTACAAATACACACACTGTTACCTGTTCACCACGACTGTTACACTGTTCACCACACTGTTACAAACTGTTCACACACTGTTACAACTGTTCACCACACTGTTACAACTGTTCACTACACTGTTACACTGTCTCAACACTTACACTGTTACAACTGTTCACTCACACTGTTACACACTGTTCACCACACTGTTACACTGTTCACCACGCTGTTACATGATTCATCACGCTGTTACATCCACTGTTCACCACGATGTAACACTGTTCACCACACTGTTACACTGTTCACCACACTGTTACACTGTTCTACCACACTGTTACACTGTTCACTACACTGGTACACTGTTCACCACACTGTTACACTGTCACCACTGTTACACTGTCCACTGTTACCTGTTCACCACGATGTACACTGTTCACTTCACCTGTTACACCTGTTCACCACACTGTTACACTGTTACCTGTACACTGTTATTCCACCTGTTACACTGTTCACCACTGTTACACTGTTCTACACCTTAACTGTTCACCTGTTTACACTGTTACACCTGTTACCACTTCACCAGCTGTTAATTCAACTGTTCACTTCACACTGTTACACACTGTTTCACCACACTGTTACATAACACTGTTACACACACTGTTACCAACAACTGTTCACTGACACTGTTTACACTCTGTTCCCCACACTGTTACACTGTTCACCACACTGTTACACTGTTCACACATGTACACTGTTCCCACACTGTTACATAACTGTTCACCACACTGTTACACTGTTCACACCTGTACATTTCACCACTTACCTTCCCACTGTTCACACTGTACACTGTTACATACATCACGCTGTTACAACTGTTCACCACCTGTACACTGTTCACACTGTTCTACTGTTCACACACTGTACACTGTTCAACCCACACTGTTCACACACTGTTCACGTTCACCAACTGTTACACTGTCACCACCTGTTTACAACCTGTTCACCACACTGTTACATGTATTACATACACGTACAACATGTTCACCACATTACACTGTTCACCACACTGTTACACAACTGTTCACCACACTGTTGTACAACTGTTCCTACACTGTACACTGTTCACACACTGTACACTGTTCACCACACTGTTACACTGTTACCACACTGTTACATGATTCACACCTGTACACACCTGTTCACACCTGTAACACTGTTAACCACTGAAAAACTTACACGTTCACCACCTGTTAACATGATTCACCACCTGTTACCACAAACACTGTTCACCACGACTGTACCCAACCTGTTCACACACACTGTTCACACACTGTTACACCACACTGTTACATACTCTGTTTACACACGCACCACGTGTAACAAACTGTCACCACACTGTTTACTACTGTTCACCACACTGTTACACTGTTCACCACACTGTTACACTGTTCACCACACTGTTACACTGTTCACCACTGTTACAACTGTTCACACTTACACTCGTTCAGCACACTGTTCCCAACTGTTCACTGTTCACCACACTGTTAACTACACTGTTACACTGTTCACCACACTGTTACACTGTTCACCACACTGTTACACTGCTCACTACACTGTTACACTGTTCACTACATTGACACTTTATTGAGGGAGAGATTAGAGATGTACCATTCGACAGAGGTTGACAACCGTACAAGACTCCTTCCCATCTCCTGTGTAGCCTTGGCTGCACACACATGACGTCTGGATAGAAAACATGAAATAAGTCAGTTCATTTTTTTTACAACAGATTGATGGACACCAAACACACACAACTGACCAACTGACTGACTTACTTTGTTAGGTCCAGTGTGAATACAGTCTGCATTCACATGGCAGCCTCCTCTACCATCCAGACAGGGGTTGATCTCTGAGGAAAAATAAAACAAAGTTTTATATTAACATTTCACAAATACTTTCTTACCATTTCTTTCAGTGGTAGCCCAACCCTAGATAACAAATTGAACAAACACAGCTGAAACTCAACATTATTTCAGCCCCTGACCCGTCAAAGTGTGTAGATTAAAAACCCATACTTACGTACACACACCACCCCATCGCCATGATATCCTGTGTTACACACACACTGCCTGCGTCCTGGGAGAGTCCTCTTACACACAGCGTGAGGACTGCAGGCTCCGTTATTGTCTTTGCAGGCATCTTTTGCTGCACACACACACACACACACACACACACACACACACACACACACACACACACACACACAGCTTTGTTACACCTAGTTTCCTGTGTAGTAGTCATGTATAGTTTATAGCAGTTAATGTACCAGCATAATAGTGCATGCTGGGAAGTGATGGGAAGGATACCTTTGCAGTCAGTGCCGTTACCCTGAAACCCTGCCAAACATTCACAGCGACCTACTACACACCTGTGAGATAGATGCAAAAGAGGAGAAGAGATGGAACCACAGTTTATAACTAAGAGATGTAAGAACCGTTTCACCGACTTGCTGTGCTGAAATGGTTTGATTTCAACATAATCACATCATAGAGTGGTGGGAAGCTGAAGTCAGAGTGAGTTCACTCACATTGCACTGGTGTGGCACTTCCTGTCCCCACAGTTCTCTTCTCTAGTGATCTCTGAAACACAGCAAACAGGGATTACATTTTTTACATTGTCATGTTACAGTATCATGAACACAATATGAGATGATCCTATAACATTGATATGATTCATGTGAGATCAAATGCCCATGTAACATGTACTTGTAATAAATGTGTGTTTTTTTTGTATGTCTGTTAGAGGTGGGACTAAAGTCCCTTGGTAGGATACGTCCTGTGCCGTGGCATTTGCGTCCCTCGCCTTTGCAACCATGAAAAACACTTTAAAATGACAAAAAGTTACACATCCTACATGTTTTTGTTGATATTGAACTGTTTATCAATAATAAACCAAAATGCAAGTCCTCTGTACTGCAAAACTGTATTTGTATGTATTCTTTAAAGTACTTAGGATATGCAAATTGTCTTGTCCCCGTAGTGATGAGTAGTTGTAGTGACATGTTTTGGGGATTTAGAGATATCTGTCTATTATTTGAATTCTAGAAAGTAAATAAAAAGTATTTCATATTTGTATAGATTAATAAAAACAAAGAATGCTATTAAATGCTTTTTATTTTTATATATAATACAGTGGGGTCAGAAATGATTAACAGGACATTTTAGCCACAAATCTGGTTGCCTCTGCCAGGAGGCTGAAACTTGGCCACAAGTGGATCTTCCAGCAACACAATAACCCCAAGCACACATCAAAATCCACAAAGAAATGGTTAGTTGGCCACAAAATCTGGACCATTGAAAACCTGTGGTTTGAATTGAAGAGGACAGTCCATAAGCACAGATGAAGGATATCAAGGATCTGGAAGGATTCTGTATGGAGGAATGGTCTAAGATACCTCCCAATGTGTTCTCCTACTCACAAAACATTTTAGAAAAAGGCTCAGTGCAGTTATCCTAGCAAGGTGAGGTATTGAAAGTTATTGAAAACAGGAGTGTCAATCATTTTTACCCCTACCTTTTTTTGAAAAAATGTTTTGATTACTTGTTAAACAAAATATTTTTCTCTGAGCAAATGTATTAGTATATAATAATAAAATTTCCCCATTTTTTTAAAGCATACACTATGAACTCTAAGTATTTGAATTATTTATTTATACAGTCATTTTTTATAAATCGTTATCAAGGGTGTCAATAACTTCGGACCCCACTGTATGTTTTATGTAATTTGTGTTACTGCCTTGAAAATCACTCTTTACAAATATATGCAAGGACCTTGAGCATGCCCTACAGTTGCAAACTGTTATTGGGGGAGGGGTCTATATTAAATAGAATTATTAATATAATAATAATATTTGCCTTTTAGCAGATGCTTTTATTCATGTGTGCATACATTTTACATATTAGGTAATCACACCCTTTTAGTATGTCATACATTTGAGGATTCCATTGATAATTTGGTGTGTCTAAATAAAAACTGTCATTGGTGTTACTCAATTTAAATAAAGGGAAATTACATTGTGAGCAAAAGTATTAATCATATCACTGTAGTTAAAGGGTTAATGACCTAGTTAAAGGGTTAATGGCCTGATCTCTCTCCTCTGTCAGTTGATTTAGAATGGGTAGATACTTTTTAAAACATATATACTGTATATGTATGCAATTTAATGTAATTTTCTCGAAATGCCACCACAACTCAAGAATGACCCTCCTGCTCTGTGGCCCACTTATCAGGCAATCACCCTGTCATACATACTTGAAAGAGTAAATGCAAGGAGCTAAAATTATACTAATAAAAAATAAGAACAACTCCAGCACATGTACTGTCATACAGTACATACTATCATCACAGGTGATCCCTCTCCAATACGCATCACACTCGCAAGTCCCATCTCCATGGATACCGTCATTGCACCGGCCGTTCTTACACCTACAGTCTGTAGAGCGAGAGAGGGGCGGAGACAGAAAGACAGAGAGAGAGAGAGTGAGAGAGAGATAGAGAGAGAGAGCGAGAGAGAGAGAGAGAGAGAGAGAGAGAGAGAGAAAACTATGCTGTTGATAGTAGTGTAGATGTTGATTGTGTTTCTGTAATGCAAAAGCATCCCAATGTTGAATTGTTGGATTCTATATTGTAGTGGCAAGTTTATAGTGGATATATCTTGCGACAGTACCTTGGTCACAGTGGACGCTATATTACTACACTCTTAGAAAAAATAGTTCCAAAATGGTTCTTCGGCTGTCCCCATAGAAGAACCCTTTTTGGTTCCAGGTAGAACCCTTTTGGGTTCCATGTAGAACCCTCTGTGGAAAGGGTTTTACATGAAACCCAAAAGGGTTCTACCTGGAACCAAAAAGGGTTATTCAAAGGGTTCTCCTATGGGGCCAAAGAACCCTTTTAGGTTCTATATAGCACCTTTTTTTCTAAGAGCGTACAGTACATTACTACAGTACCTTGGTCACAGTACCTTGGTCACAGTGGATGCCGTATTTGCCCTCCTGACACGTTTCACAAGCGGTCCCGTTGAAGCCCTTCTTACATTGGCACACCCCTGTACCGTTGGTCCCGTCCTGGCACACCCCGTTCCCATAGCAGGGCTGGCCTTTGGGCCCTGGACACGGCTCACAGTGCTCCCCGTAGAACCCGCCACAGCACCTCCGCACCTACAGGGGGAGCTAGAGTCACTCACAGGGACACACTTCTACTCTCACTTCCAATTGGCGTAAAGGTAGAGCATCACTGCCTGTCAATTCCCTCACTCAGGTAGAGCTTCTCTAGACCCTTGTTGATTCCTCTTCTTGGATTTAAACCATTGAATATGTGTAAGAAATATGCAAACACAATGCTAACAAATGATGTTAACAGTGCTTTTTGTTTCTACACCAGTGACACATTCTAGACTAGGGATGCATGCCAAATTACACCCTGTTCCCTATGGGCCCTGGTCAAAAATAGTGGACTATATAGGGAATAGGGTGGGATGCAGTCCGAACACAGTGCTAGTGGTGCTACTGGTGTCTCACGTACAATGGTAGTGTTCTTGCAGATGGTCTTGCAGCCGAGGCTGAGCAGCTGTTCCCCCTCGTAGACCCGACGGAACATACACTTTTTCCTGACCAATGTCTGTAGGGAAAACAGCCATAACACAGAGAGTAATTCATGAAACATGATAGCCATTTTGGATCCACTATACAGTAGCTGGATATACTTGAAAGGTATCATACCATTGGGGTAGATCCGGCTGGACAGGTGTTGTATTGTGGGTAGAAGCAGTCTTGACAGGATCCCTTCAGACAAAAGATGAATGAAGAATTATCTGAGAAAATTCATGTCAAATGTTTAGAAAAAGGAAGAAAGGGGTATTGATTAAGCTGTACCGGAAATGTCTTGAATTGCTGGATGTCGCAGCGATTTTTGGTGATATCTAGGACTGCAGATAGGCCGTGGATCACCCCTTTACCACCCTGGATGTCTGACACATTTACCTGGGCCTCATTCACAAACAACTACAGAGGAGAGAGAAAAGAAGAGAAGAGAAGAGAAGAGAAGAGAAGAGAAGAGAAGAGAAGAGAAGAGAGAGAAGAGAAGAGAAGAGAAGAGAAGAGAAGAGAAGAGAAGAGAAGAGAAGAGAAGAGAAGAGAAGAGAAGAGAAGAGAAGAGAAGAGAAGAGAAGAGAAGAGAAGAGAAGAGAAGAGAAGAGAAGAGAAGAGAAGAGAAGAGAAGAGAAGAGAAGAGAAGAGAAGAGAAGAAAAAAGAAGCACCACATTTTGAGAGGACTCAAACAGCAGTAGACTACATCCAATATGGCTGATACAACACTAGCAGAAGAACACAAACAGAATTCCCAGAGCATCCCATAATAAAAATACCTTGTCATCCCTGGGTAAGATGCCTAGCTGGTAGGAGAACCCCAGCATGGTCTCCTTGTAGGCTCCACCCAGCAGGTCTATCCTCATCAACCTATCAGACAGCACTATGTGGTACCGCGTCGTATTCAGGTCCTGACAACAACCAAAGCACACACAGTACTATACAGTTCATACATTATATAAGCACGCACACTCGCATCCACAAACACAATGTGTAACAAGATCACAAAATAATTTGAGGTACCATGGTGTCCGAAGCGGTATTCTTGAGGTACTCGAGGACAGCACTGTCTGTTGGAGCAAACACTGTGTACGCCGAGGCCTGCTCTATCTCCTCTGTCAGGTTATGATGCTGAGAGGGAGCAGACAGAGACAGACATTGTCCTCAGATATGGCTGCTTATGGAATCACAAGTAATTTAATGGAGAACATTAATAAGACATTGATAAGGCTGGGGTTGTTCATCAGAGTGCTCTCTTCAAAAAAGAGAGTTTGGGTGCTGTATGAGCGTGTGGCTTGGATGAAAAGAATAGAAGCCTTATAATGTACGTACAACAAGGTAACTCCTGAACAGGGAGAACTCTGGCCTCTGTGCAAGCAGCTCCAGCAGCCCCTCACTTAGACTCCTCTCTGGAACCAACACTGTGTCAATAATGTGGATCAGTCCATTGGTTGAAGCCACATTTGCGGTTGTTATGGTGGCTCCTCCAATCCCTGTGGACTGACAGACAATACAGGGTTAACTTCAGGTCATGTGTTACAGTATCACAGTTCCTGTTCACTTCAAGCTTAGGATAAAACCTGCCTCTAAACTCACCTCATTGGTAATAGTAACAGGAAGAGCCTTCTTCAGAAAGGAAGTGAGCTGCAAGGTGGAGGATGCGTTCCGTAGGTCAGCTAACGAGTAGACACCTTGGATCATGTGATTTCTATCAGGGTATAATCAGAAATAAGGATTATCACAATGGAAGAATCTCAATGCCTATACCAAAACGTTTTAGAAAGTTGTCCAATGGAAAATAAAAGAGACGGTTCAGAGAGAAGTCCAGGTAATCTCTTCCTGTTTCAGGCCATATTCTTTCATTTGGTGCCTAATGAATATGACCCAGGTCTTACTTGATGATACTGGGTAGGTTCCCCTGGGTTGTCCAGAAGTCCTTGTCCTCTTTGGTCATCTTGTCTGTGGCTGCTGTGGACGGCACCAGCAGAGTTATGTTCTGACTGTTCATGAGTGGCAGTTGGGAAATGCCTGTGTCCTGGGAGAGGGGAGGAGACAAAATAAAATACTAAATGTCATGATGACCTAAAACCATCCGACCAGCATCTTACAGGCATACTAGCAGGCTAACAGAAGGTGATGGTGAGTTGTGAATATGACCTTGTGCAGATTGTAGCAGTATGCACTACAGTACCCATAATGCTCTATAACCATATCCGGTTGTATCTTACTAAACGTTCCTGAAGCTTACACTATGCACTCTTAGAAAAAAGGGTTCCAAAAGTGTTTTTCGGCTGTCCCCATAGGATAACCCTTTTTGGTTCCAGGTAGAACCCTCTGTAGAAAAGGTTCTATATGGAACCCAAAAGAGTTCTACCTGGAACCAAAAAGGGTTCTTCAAAGGGTTCTCCTATGGGGACACCCGAATAACTATTTTAGGTTCTAGATAGCACCTTTTTTTCTAAGAGTGTGGTGTGATGTCTCCTTATTGATACAGGATGTCAGAAGTGAAAATAAGTTGTTTCTTATTCAGACAATGAAGAATCTGAACAACAGCATTAACAACACAGGGAAAACTCAAAACCCCCCTCCTGTAAAACGATGAGAAATGACAATGGTTAAGTCAAACTCACAGTCACCCATTTGGCGAATTCAGTGACATCAGGAAGGGCCATCAACTCCTACAGAGACACAGTGGAGGTTAGGTTTGTTATTCAGATCAGAGTAGGTATGTCAGTCCCCCAATCCTAAGCCATATGTGGCTACCTGTCTTGGCAATAACGTAGGAAGTGCTCACCTGTCCCACATTGCCGTAGCACACCTCTCCGTCACCTGTGTATCCATCCTCACACACACACTTCCATGCACCGGACACGTAGAGACAGCTTGCCTGTAGGAGAGAAAGTAGATCAAAGTTCATGAGGTCAAAGGCTATCATCTCAGTCATTCAGTATTATGGTCTGTGATTCTATTGGTCAATACTTAGCCAATGAGAAGTAGTGGGCACCCACCAGATAATGACAGCCGCCATTTTGTGCCACGCACGGATTGTTCGCCTCGCACTCCCTCCCATTTCCACGGAAACCACTCTTGCACGCACAGCCGCTCTGCATTTGGAAATAGGAACATGCATAGGATCAACTGGAGTCTTTGGGCTTTTCTGAATGGATGGGATAAGATAGATGGTAGGGGAGAAAAGATACGAACAACATAGCATTGTCAGTCAGACTGTTTTGGGAGTTTGATGCCCTACCTCCCTCTCTCACCTGTCCAGGGCCCACGTAAATACAGGTGGCATTGGGATGGCAGCCCCCTCTATCAGCGCCCAGGCAGTCATTGATAGGCTGGCACTCATCCTCGTCCGCCCTCCACCCTGCCAAACAATGGCATGTGTGTGAGCCTGGCCCTGTCTTTATACACTTGGCCTGTAGGGGGTAGTGGAGAACACAGTCAGAACAGCTCAGTACAGCAAGCAGGCTACCATGCTAAGGTGAAAAACAGATCTAAAATGTTACATTGGAAAAGGTACTGAAATACGTTGATGGTGAGATGTATGGTTTTCGTACATTGTGTGTTTTCTGTGCTTACATTCACATCGCATCCTCCACGGTTCGGCTGGGCACAGGGGTCCGTATCCACGCACGTGATCCCATCACCTTGGAATCCAGGCTTACACACACACCTTCACACACATAAAAAACACGCCTTTTACTTAAAACAAACTTTTGCAGGAGGGAAATCTTGGATACAAAACACTGTGTTGTCTTGAGAATTTAGAACATTGAGTGAGAGAAAGGGATTCTATTGTTATACCATCATCCCCAACAAGGCCGCAGTGAAGCCTGCACACTCACTTGACTGCCCCTCCGTTGAAGTCACACTTTGCGTAGGCATGACAGAAGGTCACCTGGGGGCCACAGGCCTGGGTGTGGCGTTCACAGTACTGGCCAGTGTAGCCCGGCTGGCAGGAGTCCACCTTACAACGCCCGTCTGCCTCGGGACGGTTATCACACACACCATGGATACAGTCACAAGCTAGGGACAGAAGGGGAGAGACACATCATCAACATGAGACAGACGTGTCATCATCTGGGGACACTGATATGTCCCTGTGTCAATATAGAATGTCTAAGACGGGGGTGTACTTTTGTCGCAGGCCGGTCCGTATTTGTTGGGGTTGGAGCAGTAGTGGCACCGGGAGCCTTTGAAGTTGGTCTCACAGACACATGTCCCGTTTCCCTCGATCCCCTCAGAACACTAAGACACATGGTAGAAAATCAGTATGAATACCTACATACTGTACATAAACACAAAGATGAGGATTATGCCAATCACTGCATAGATTATCCTCAGTCAGATTGGTTAAGTGGTTAAGGGATAAATTGGTTAAGTGGTGTGTCTCACCTGTCCGCGACGGGAGCAGGGGGTGTTGAACCCTCCAGGACAGGGGGTGCAGTCTGGCCCATAGAAGCCCTTACAGCACAGTGGTGTCTGGGGAGAGGATGATGTAGAGGTGGGGTTAGGGAGGAGGACAGGCTCAGGAGGGTGAAAAACACAAATCAGACCAGGCCTACAGAGTGTGTGAGGGGTGTTTGAGGTGTGCGAGGTGCGAGGGAGGTTGTGTGTGGTGTGTGTGTGTGTATATGTTTTCCTACATTATCAGGACCAGAATGTCCTGACAAGTCACCAGAATGTCCTGACAAGGTAGGAAAACAAGAAACGTGAATTTGTTAAATTTATATTTTAGGCTTAAAGGTTTAGGGTTTGGGGTTAAGGTTAGGTTCAGGGTTAGGAGTTAGGGTTAGGGGTTTTATGTGTGTCTGTGTGTGTCTGTACCGTGAGGGTCCTGTTGCATATGAGGGCGCAGCCAAACGTAGGGATGTTGAAACCCAGTATATTCCGGAACACACAGCCGTGAGTGAAGGTGTTCTACACAAAGGGGGCAACGTCAGCAAAATAAACACAGAGCTGTATAGAGTACATGGATGGTTACATCCCAAATGGCACCCTACTACCTTTAAAGTCTACTACTTTTGTCCAGTGCTCATAGGGCTCTGGTCAAAAGTAGTGCACTATATAGGGAATAGGATGCCATTTGCAAAACAGACCATGGCTCTCAGTAAACACATACAGTGCCTTCAGAAAGTATTCACACCCCTTGACTTTTTCCACATTTTGTTGTGTTACAGCCGGAATTTAAAATGGATTAAATTTAGATTTTGTGTCACTGGCCTACACAGTGGTGTAAAGTACTACTTAATTCATTTTTGCGGGTATCTGTACTATCTGTACAACTTTTACTTCTACTTCACTATAATGTAGTTTTTACTCCATACATTTTCCCTGACACCCAAAAGTACTCGTTACATTTTGAATGCTTAGCAGGACAGGAAAATTGTCCAATTCACGCACTTATCAAGAGAACATCCCTGGTCATTCCTACTGCCTCTGATCTGGCGGACTCACTAAACACACATGCTTCATTTGTAAATTATGTCTGAATGTTGGAGTGTGCCCCTGGCTATCTGTAAAATAAAATCAACTGTCTGGTTTGCTTAATATAAGGAATTTAAAATGATTTATATTTTTACTTTTACTTTTGATATTTAAGTATATTTTAGCAATTACATTTACTTTTGATACTTAAATATCTTTAAAACCAAATACTTTTATTCAAAAAGTATTTTACTGGGTGACTTTCACTTTTACTTGAGTCACTTTCTATTATGTATCTTTACTTCTACTCAAGTATGACAATTGGGTACTTTTTACACCACTGAGCCTACACACAATACCCCATAACGATATTATAACCGCGATCGATAATAGACAGTACTATGCAGCCGTCTTCATCGACCAAGGCTTTCGACTCTGTCAACCACCGCATTCTTATTGGCAGACTAAATAGCCTTGGTTTCTCAAATGACTGCCTCGCCTGGTTCACCAACTACTTCTCAGATAGAGTTCAATGTGTCAAATCGGAGGGCCTGTTGTCTGGACCTATGGCAGTCTCTATGGGGGTGCCACAGGGTTCAATTCTTGGGCCGACTCTTTTCTCTGTGTATATCAATGATGTCGCTCTTGCTGCCGGTGATTCTCAGATCCACCTCTATGCAGATGACACCATTTTGTATACATCTGGCCCTTCATTGGACACTGTGTTAACAAATCTCCAAACGAGCTTCAATGCCATACAACACTCCTTCCATAGCCTCCAACTGCTCTTAAACACAAGTAAATCTAAATGCATGCTCTTCAATCGAACGCTGCTGGCACCCGCCCACCCGACTAGAATCACTACTCTCAACGGGTCTGACCTAGAGTATGTGGACAACTACAAATACCTAGGTGTCTGGTTAGACTGTAAACTCTCCTTCCAGACTCACATTAAGCATCTCCAATCCAAAGTTAAATCTAGAATTGGCTTCCTATTTCGCAACAAAGCCTCCTTCACTCATGCTGCCAAACATGCCCTTGTAAAACTGACTATCCTACCGATCCTTGACTTCGGCGATGTCATTTACAAAATAGCCTCCAACACTCTACTCAGCAAATTGGATGTAGTCTATCACAGTGCCATCCGTTTTGTCACCAAAGCCCCATATACTACCCACCACTGTGACCTGTACGCTCTTGTTGGCTGGTCCTCACTACATATTCGTCGCCAAACCCACTGGCTCCAGGCCATCTATAAATCACTGCTAGGCAAATCCCCTCCTTATCTTAGCTCATTGGTCACCATAGCAACACCCACCCGTAGTATGCGCTCCAGCAGGTACAGTGGGGAAAAAAAGTATTTAGTCAGCCACCAATTGTGCAAGTTCTCCCACTTAAAAAGATGAGAGAGGCCTGTAATTTTCATCATAGGTACGTGTCAACTATGACAGACAAATTGAGATTTTTTTTCTCCAGAAAATCACATTGTAGGATTTTTAATGAATTTATTTGCAAATTATGGTGGAAAATAAGTATTTGGTCACCTACAAACAAGCAAGATTTCTGGCTCTCACAGACCTGTAACTTCTTCTTTAAGAGGCTCCTCTGTCCTCCACTCGTTACCTGTATTAATGGCACCTGTTTGAACTTGTTATCAGTATCAAAGACACCTGTCCACAACCTCAAACAGTCACACTCCAAACTCCACTATGGCCAAGACCAAAGAGCTGTCAAAGGACACCAGAAACAAAATTGTAGACCTGCACCAGGCTGGGAAGACTAAATCTGCAATAGGTAAGCAGCTTGGTTTGAAGAAATCAACTGTGGGAGCAATTATTAGGAAATGGAAGACATACAAGACCACTGATAATCTCCCTCGATCTGAGGCTCCACGCAAGATCTCACCCCGTGGGGTCAAAATGATCACAAGAACGGTGAGCAAAAATCCCAGAACCACACGGGGGGACCTAGTGAATGACCTGCAGAGAGCTGGGACCAAAGTAACAAAGCCTACCATCAATAACACACTACGCCGCCAGGGACTCAAATCCTGCAGTGCAAGATGTGTCCCCCTGCTTAAGCCAGTACATGTCCAGGCCCGTCTGAAGTTTGCTAGAGTGCATTTGGATGATCCAGAAGAGGATTGGGAGAATGTCATATGGTCAGATGAAACCAAAATAGAACTTTTTGGTAAAAACTCAACTCGTCGTGTTTGGAGGACAAAGAATGCTGAGTTGCATCCAAAGAACACCATACCTACTGTGAAGCATGGGGGTGGAAACATCATGCTTTGGGGCTGTTTTTCTGCAAAGGGACCAGGACGACTGATCCGTGTAAAGGAAAGAATGAATGGGGCCATGTATTGTGAGATTTTGAGTGAAAACCTCCTTCCATCAGCAAGGGCATTGAAGATGAAACGTGGCTGGTTCTTTCAGCATGACAATGATCCCAAACACACCGCCCGGGCAACGAAGGAGTGGCTTCGTAAGAAGCATTTCAAGGTCCTGGAGTGGCCTAGCCAGTCTCCAGATCTCAACCCCATAGAAAATCTTTGGAGGGAGTTGAAAGTCCGTGTTGCCCAGCGACAGCCCCAAAACATCACTGCTCTAGAGGAGATCTGCATGGAGGAATGGGCCAAAATACCAGCAACAGTGTTTGAAAACCTTGTGAAGACTTACAGAAAATGTTTGACCTGTGTCATTGCCAACAAAGGGTATATAACAAAGTATTGAGAAACTTTTGTTATTGACCAAATACTTATTTGCCACCATAATTTGCAAATAAATTCATTAAAAATCCTACAATGTGATTTTCTGGATTTCTTTTCCTCATTTTGTCTGTCATAGTTGACGTGTACCTATGATGAAAATTACAGGCCTCGCTCATCGTTTTAAGTGGGAGAACTTGCACAATTGGTGGCTGACTAAATACTTTTTTTCCCCACTGTATATCTCACTGGTCATCCCCAAAGCCAACACCTCCTTTGGCCGCCATTCCTTCCAGTTCTCTGCTGCCAATGACTGGAACGAACTGCAAAAATCTCTGAAGCTGGAGACTCTTATCTCCCTCACTAACTTTAAGCATCAGTTGTCAGATCACCTAACCGATCACTGCACCTGTACACAGCCCATCTGAAATTAGCCCACCCAACTACCTCATCCCCATATTGTCACGCCCTGACTCAGGGGACGGTTATTTGTTGAGTCAGGGTGTGTATATTTCGTGTTGTGTTTGTTTCTATGTTTAGTTTCTAGATCGTTTAGATCTATGTTGGCCAGGGTGGTTCCCAATCAGAGATAGCTGTAGCTCGTTGTCTCTGATTGGGGACCATACTTAGGCAGCCTGTTGGCACCAGTTAGTTTGTGGGATCTTGTTCCGTATAGGTATGTTATTAGTCTACCTTGGACTTCACGTATCGTTTGTTTGTTGTTTTGTTCGTGTGTTCAGTACTAAATAAATATGTACGCTTATCACGCTGCGCCTTGGTCCGTCTCATCCGTAAACGATCGTGACACATATTGTTATTTATTTTGCTCATTTTCACCCCAGTATCTCTATTTGCACATAATCTCTTGCACATCTATCATTCCAGTGTTAATACTAATTAATACTATTTATTGCCTTACCTCCATAACTTGCTACATTTGCACACACTGTATATATATTTTCTGTTGTATTTTTGACTTTATGTTTTGTTTTACCCCATATGCATCTCTGTGTTTTTATCGCACTGCTTTGCTTTATCTTGGCCAGGTCGCAGTTGTAAATGAGAACTTGTTCTCAACTGGCTTACCTGGTTAAATAAAGGTGAAATAAATAAATAAATAAAAAATACGTGGAATTATGTTTTTAGACATTTTTACAAATTAATTAATAATGAAAAGCTGACATTTCTTGAGTCAGTAAGTTTTCAACCCCTTTGTTAAAGCAAGTCTAATTAAGCTCAGGAGTAAATGTGCTTAACAAGTCACATAAGTTGCAAGGACTCACTCTGTGTGCAATAATAGTGTTTAACATGATTTTTGAATGACTACCTCATAAAATGATCTGTAAGGTCCCAGTCAAGCATTGAATTTCAAACAAAGATTCAACCACAAAGACCAGGGAGGTTTTCTAACGCCTCGCAAAGAAGGGCACCTATTGGTAGATGGGTAAAAATAAAAAAGCAGATATTGAATATCCCTTTGAGCATGGTGAAGTTATTAATTACACTTTGGATGGTGTATCAATACACCCAGTCACTACAAAGATGCAGGTATCCTTCATAACTCAGTTGCCAGAGAGGAAGGAAACCACTCAGGGATTTCACCATGAGGCCAATGGTGACTTTAAAATAGTTACAGAGTTTAATGGATGTGAGAAGAGGAAACTGAGTTACTCCACATTGTAGTTACTCCACAATACTTACCTAAATGACAGAGTGAAAAGAAGGAAGCCTGTACAGAATAAAAATATTCCAAAACATGCATCCTGTTTGCAATAAGGCACTAAAGTAAAACTGCAATGAACTTTATGTACTGAATTCAAAGCGTTATGATTGGGGCAAATCCAACACAACACATCACTGAGTACCACTCTTCATATTGTCAAGGATGGTGGTAGCTGCATCATGTTGTGGGTATGCTTGTCATCAGCAAAGACTAGGGACGTTTTTTTTAGGATAAAAAGAAACGGAATAGAGCTAAGCACAGGCAAAATCCTAGAGGAAAATCTAGTTCCGTCTGCTTTCCAACATACACTGGGAGACAAATTCAGCAGGACAATAACCTAAAACACAAGGCCAATATACACTGGAGTTGCTTACCAAGACGACATTGAATGTTCCTCAGTGGCCTAGTTACAGTTTTGACAGAGTTTGACTAATTAAAAAAATAATAATGTTAAAATATTGTACAATCCAGGTGTGCAAAACGCTTGGAGACTTATTCACAACCAATTACAGCTGTAATCACTGCCAAAGGTGATCCTTACATGTATTGACTTAGGTGTGTGAATACATATGTAAATTAGATATTTCTGTATTTCATTTTCAATACATTTGCAAACATGTTTTCACTTTGTCATAATTAGGTATTTTGTGTAGAGATACATTTTGAATTCAGGATGTAACACAACAAAATGTGAAATAAGTCAAGGGGTATGAATACTTTTTGAAGGCACTGTACAAGGTTAATGAAAGAGCCATGTGAAGGCAACTGAAAGGGATGCTTAGGTCTCTATACAACATTTGCAAACTCTTTGGGATTCAGTGTGTGTGGGTTCTTACTGTGGACACTCCGGATGGGCAGCTGGACTTGGTCACCTTTGAGCAGCTGACACAGTCACCCTGGGTAGTAGCATGTCAATGAAGAGAGACACTCAAATGAGGACAAGCAACCAGAATCAACTACCTCACTAAATCGAAATAAAGGATGACTCTAATAATAAGTTATGAAGTTAATAATGAATAAAACCTCTAAAACTAAAACACTAAATGTGAATGCAGGGGACGATCACAGAACCTGTCACTCAAACTCACCTTCAAAAGTTTGTTCTCTGTGATGTCACACCTGTGAGGCAGTACCGGCTCGATGGAGGGCGGGATCAGAACTCCGTCCAGCGAATAGAGGCGTCCGTTCTTGGCCTCCACATCTGCCTCCAGTACAGCCATGCCGTTAACCAGGATTTGACCCTGTGGGGTTTCATCAGAGTCAGACAAAACACCTACACACACACACACACACACTATACAGTACATACCTCCTCTCTTGTGTTGATGTGTCACATGTACTTACGTTTTCAGTCACGTTGAACGAGAGGATCTGATTGGCCATGGTCCTAATCCGGGGGCTGGACACAGCGTTATAGACCTCCAACTTCAAACCAATGGAAAACAACAACCGTATGCAAACACATTGACAGAATAGTCAGGGGTTCAGGGTTCGTATTCATAAAGCGTCTCAGAGTAAGAGTGCTGATCTAGGATCAGGTCTCCCCTATCCATGTAATCTAATTAATTATAATATAGACGTAACATAACTGGACATAACAGATCCTAGATCAGCACTCATACTCTGAGAAAATTTATGAATACGGGCCCTGAAGTCTAAGGGACTCGACATTATCTGGTTTGGTGATTGACATGTGGGCCTAGCACACACACTCACCTTAGTTGAGGGGACCACATGATTTCTTAGTAGCTCCAGTAGTTTAGTGCTTCCCTGAAATCAGACAAAAATAAGCCAAACACACACACATCACAGTCACGGTCTGGGACGTCACATGCTTTGCAAAACGATGTGTGTGTGTGTCATCAGAGCCATAAGAGTTTGCAATTGTGCATGCGTGTGCATGTGTATGTGCACATGCAGTCACCCATTCCCTACCTCACTAGAGGTAAGATAGTCCAGCTGTCCCTCCTTCATGGCATCGAAGGCTGTGTTGGTGGGGGCAAAGATGGTGGAGGGCCCAGCCTCCTCCAATACAGAGTCAACATTGGCTTTCTGTACAGATGAATCAAACCAAATCAAACTTTATTTATATAGCATATTTCAAACCAATTTTTTATTTTGTTAAAAGTGCCTTACATACATACAAATGAATAAAAACAATACAGTAATAAGATATCAAAACAACAGGTTGATGTTACTTCATATCTGATATAATATATTCTGAATAATACCTAGAATATGTTAAATACAATTAAAATAACATGAAATGAATACAGAATACAGTACCATCAGCAAATCCTTGAATTTGGAAAACTTCCCGTAGTCTGATAGAATCTTCATCAGACTCTCCTGGAAAGGATAACATGACAAGTCATGTCAAAATGGAACTTAGGCTAACTTAACAACCAGGCTTGTTGCAATGATGAGAAAACCATGTGTAGTGTCAACACAAATGCAGGCCCTGTAAATGCTATTCTAAGTATTGTAAACAATGTATCTGGTTGCGTCCCAAACGGCACCCTATTCCCTATGTAGTGCACTACTTCTGACCAGAGCCCTATGGGTAATGCACTAAAAAGGTAATATGGTGCCGTTTGGGACGCAGCCTTTGTGTCTGGTCTCTGTGCACCTCTCTCTCACTCTCCACCGTGGGTGAGACACTGTCCATCAGCTTGTTGAGAATATGGATGATCCCATTGGAAGCGATGACATCAGACTGCAGGAACCCGCCTTTCTTCCTGCTGCCATGGATACGGATCTTGAGCTGCTTGTCCTGTGGGGGGGATCATCAAGTTATTTTGCTGGCATGACCAGCATGACCTGTCATTAGAGTAGTGTTTCTCATTGGACCGTCTTGTGCTGTGTCAACACTACTACTATGAGAAGCCCACTTAGGTACTCTTGGGACGGTGTTGACCTTTGTCAGTCTAAATCAGGATGGCCATGGTAATGAGGCTTGCCCCTGTGTGTGCATGCGTGTGTGTGTGTATCTCACGTCTTCTGTTGTCACCGTCTCCCCTGCCTTCCCCGTCAGAGTGTAGTAGATGCCCCCTCTGTTCAACGTGTCATAGGGCATCTCCCCGGCAACCATGTGCAGCTTACACAGGTACTTAGCCTTCATTGGGTCAGCCATCAGAGTATTCAGCTGAGACAGGACAACACATACTCACTATTACAACAAACATGCTAAACACTTCAGCTATAGGTGGAAAAGTAGAGAATATTGGTATTGTGTTGCAAAAAATATCCAAAATATCCAGCAATATATCTACAGTGCCTCTAGGTGTCTACTGTGTACCAATATAGCTACAGTGGCTATGGGTGTCTACTGTGTACCAATATAGCTACAGTGGCTATGGGTGTCTACTGTGTACCAATATAGCTACAGTGGCTATGGGTGTCTACTGTGTACCAATATAGCTACAGTGGCTATGGGTGTCTACTGTGTACCAATATAGCTACAGTGGCTATGGGTGTCTACTGTGTACCAATATAGCTACAGTGGCTATGGGTGTCTACTGTCTATCTTACTGGAGTTCCTTTGAAGCCCTTGTTGATTGGGACGAAGACAGTGAAGGGGCCAAAGTTGCTCAGGGGCCAAGAAATGGCACCTGGAGGAGGAGGAGGAGGAGGAGGAAAAGAGAGAGAGCGTGCAAGAGAGAGAGAGAGATAGAGAGAGTGAGAGAGAGAGAGCATGTAAATCAAGTCCCATAACAAAATAGGTGTTTTTCTGCAACTTTGATGAGTCACTGATTGGCCGATGATTAAACAATGAGACGCACCAAAGAGTGTGATGGCATTGCTGAGCTGACCGGTCCATTGGCCCCCGGGCTCTGAGTTCAGATCGTTCAGACGCTGCATGATGTTGCCATAGCAAATCTTGCCGTTGCCCAGGTAACCCTGGTGACATGTGCACCTGGCGTAAGAGAGATGAATGAAGGTAAGACGATCTTTGAAGAAAGATGGTTTTACTGCACAAATATCCTTAAACACACAAAGTCTAAGAGAACAGAAACATACTGACTCTACTACGTTCGGCTCCACTGTAGAACAGTTGGCATTTTTGCTGCAGGAGTCTGGTCTGCACATGTCCTTCAGGCTGCAGCTCACCCCTCCTGCCAGGTGGTCAAACCCGTCTTGACACTCACAATGAGACTACAAGCGAAACCAAAAACACCACTCAGGGGGAGGTTCACCTAACACAAATGACTGGCACATTATCACCAATTGAAGCAATAAAATGTTATATTTTGACTTGCATTATCAATTAATTTCAAATGTGGGTTAGGAAAAAGGTTGGGGGAAAAGCACACATGCACGCACACACACACACACACACACACCTTCCCTGGCCCATCGTACACGCAGCGAGCAGTGTCATCAGAGCAGCCCCCCAGGTGTGTTTGACAGGGGTCTATGGGAACACACACGTGCCCGTCCCCGCTGTAGCCCTGGGCACAGGTACACGAGTGCTTGTTGGGCCCCACGTGGGCACAGGTGGCATGGCTGTGGCACACCTGCTGCAGGCACGGGTTTATGGCTGTGAGAGGAGACACATCAAAACTATTACATAACTCACTTAGTACCAGGCTGTTAGTAGCTGGAAGGCCATAAGGCCCCATTACAGAGAATAGGAACACAGCCAATGCTGTCACTCACATATGCATTGATCTCCAGAGGTTTGGTAGCCAGGTAGACATTGACAGCGTAGTGACCCATCAAGTGTGCCCTGCATACAGCGAGTGTTCTGTGGACAAAGCAGAGAAGAGCACTCCGGCAGCTCTGAGAGATGACAGAGATGACAGATCCACGTGCTGTTATTAGGGTGTGAGCAAGTTATCATTGGATGAATACACACAGGTAGGCTATAGATCAGGGAGTTAATGCTGCAGCACACGACAGGTATAATGCATTATGATACAGTTCTAACACATTGTAAGACCTGTCATAAGCATGCAAGACCACTGGTTCTCTTACCCAGATCACATTTTGGCCCTTTATACCCAGAGAAGCAGGTGCATATCCCATCACCGTGGATACCAGCATTACACAGGCCATGTACACAAGTGCAGGCTGATGGACCGGGGAGTGGAGAATGATGGGATGAAGAGAGAGAGAAACAGGTTGATATTACAAATGGCACCAACATGGACTGTATCTCTAGGTGCATGGGGCAGTCACAAAATGGGGTAGATAAAGAATCTTAATCTTAAAGAATGGGACCGAGTTGGTTACCAGAACTACAGGTTGAGCCGTAAAGATTATCTGCACAGTCTTCACACGCAGTTCCCACGAAGCCAGGCTGAGGAAGACAAACACAGTGATGGACCATTCTGTGTTTGTGTGTGTGTGCATGTGTATGTATGTATGTTTGTATGTTTGTATGTATGTATGTATGTATGTATGTATGTATGTATGTATGTATGTATGTATGTATGTATGTATGTATGTATGTATGTATGTGTGTGTGTGTGTGTGTGTGTGTGTGTGTGTGTGCGTGCATGTGTGTGTGTGTGCGTGTATGTGTGCACATGTGTGTTTACTTGCATATACAGTGGGGAAAAAAAGTATTTAGTCAGCCACCAATTGTGCAAGTTCTCCCACTTAAAAAGATGAGAGAGGCCTGTAATTTTCATCATAGGTACACGTCAACTATGACAGACAAAATGAGGAAAAAAAATCCAGAAAATCACATTGTAGGATTTTTAATGAATTTATTTGCAAATAATGGTGGAAAATAAGTATTTGGTCAATAACTAAAGTTTCTCAATACTTTGTTATATACCCTTTGTTGGCAATGACACAGGTCAAACGTTTTCTGTAAGTCTTCACAAGGTTTTCACACACTGTTGCTGGTATTTTGGCCCATTCCTCCATGCAGATCTCCTCTAGAGCAGTGATGTTTTGGGGCTGTCGCTGGGCAACACGGACTTTCAACTCCCTCCAAAGATTTTCTATGGGGTTGAGATCTGGAGACTGGCTAGGCCACTCCAGGACCTTGAAATGCTTCTTACGAAGCCACTCCTTTGTTGCCCGGGCGGTGTGTTTGGGATCATTGTCATGCTGAAAGACCCAGCCACGTTTCATCTTCAATGCCCTTGCTGATGGAAGGAGGTTTTCACTCAAAATCTCACAATACATGGCCCCATTCATTCTTTCCTTTACACGGATCAGTCGTCCTGGTCCCTTTGCAGAAAAACAGCCCCAAAGCATGATGTTTCCACCCCCATGCTTCACAGTAGGTATGGTGTTCTTTGGATGCAACTCAGCATTCTTTGTCCTCCAGTTGAGTTTTTACCAAAAAGTTATATTTTGGTTTCATCTGACCATATGACAATCTCCCAATCCTCCTCTGGATCATCCAAATGCACTCTAGCAAACTTCAGACGGGCCTGGACACGTACTGGCTTAAGCAGGGGGACACGTCTGGCACTGCAGGATTTGAGTCCCTGGCGGCGTAGTGTGTTACTGATGGTAGGCTTTGTTACTTTGGTCCCAGCTCTCTGCAGGTCATTCACTAGGTCCCCCCGTGTGGTTCTGGGATTTTTGCTCACCGTTCTTGTGATCATTTTGACCCCACGGGGTGAGATCTTGCGTGGAGCCCCAGATCGAGGGAGATTATCAGTGGTCTTGTATGTCTTCCATTTCCTAATAATTGCTCCCACAGTTGATTTCTTCAAACCAAGCTGCTTACCTATTGCAGATTCAGTCTTCCCAGCCTGGTGCAGGTCTACAATTTTGTTTCTGGTGTCCTTTGACAGCTCTTTGGTCTTGGCCATAGTGGAGTTTGGAGTGTGACTGTTTGAGGTTGTGGACAGGTGTCTTTTATACTGATAACAAGTTCAAACAGGTGCCATTAATACAGGTAACGAGTGGAGGACAGAGGAGCCTCTTAAAGAAGAAGTTACAGGTCTGTGAGAGCCAGAACTCTTGCTTGTTTGTAGGTGACCAAATACTTATTTTCCACCACAATTTGCAAATAAATTCATAAAACATCCTACAATGTGATTTTCTGGATTTTTTTCCTCAATTTGTCTGTCATAGTTGATGTGTACCTATGATGAAAATTACAGGCCTCTCTCATCTTTTTAAGTGGGAGAACTTGCACAATTGGTGGCTGACTAAATACTTTTTTTCCCCACTGTATGTGTGTGTCTCTGCATCATCATCCAGTACCTTACAGCTGCAGGTCCCGTTGCCACCCATGCCTTCAGAACACACTCCATTATTACTACAGGGTCTCAATGCGTCCTCTGGGCACTCTGTGACAGGAAGACAGTACCATTCACATCAGTCTCATATCAACAGAAAGATGGACAACCAATCTCAATGAAACAGTGATTGGAAACCGAATGGGCTTCAGTAATGTATTGTTCCAATGTCCAGGAGAGCACGTGACTTGACAATAGCCTGGATGTAATGCTATGACAGCTGTGTCTCCAGGGATCTGAGTAAGCAGACGTGTTACACTTCACTTAAAGACCCCATCACCTCTTCACCCCATCTCCACTTCCTCTACTCCTCTCCTCATTCTCTCTCCTTCTCTTTCCTTTTTACTCTCTCCTGTGTGCCTCTCTTATCAGTATGACCCAACATCACTCATCGCCTTCCTTCCCTCAAGATACACACACAATGTACACACAAGCATTCACAGGGTGTTGCCAAGGGTCTCCTTACAATCAGCAGACTCTAGGAAGGCAGTTGTTTTCGTCAGCAGATTCTCACTCACTCACCATTTCTGAGCAGATGTCACTCAATTGTAATAATATCATTCAATGTTTCCCCAATGTTTACTTTAATGAATGATAACCTTCTAATGTGGGTATGTTGTACCTAAAAGGTAACATTGTTGCACAACAAGTGATGAGAGTAATTCAGTCGACATACAGGGAGAGAGAGAGAGAGAGAGAGAGAGAGAGAGAGAGAGAGGAGACTGAGAGAGAGAAGACAGAGATTGAGGAGGAGAGAGTGGAGAGAGGAGAGAGAGACGAGACGGATGAGAGAGGAAGACGAGCAGAGGAGAGCGGAGAGAGAGGCGAGGAGGAGGAGAGGAGATGAGGAGGAGGAGAGGGAGAGAGAGAGGAGAAGAGCTGGGAGAGGGAGGGGGATAAGAGGGGTCTATGACAGGAACGAAAGAGATAGAGAGAGGAAGCCTGGACTCAGTGCTCTCCGGGTGTCAGCACATTCCTGGAAGACAGGGGCCCGCTGACGATGAGCCCTAATTGGGAGGAAGGAAGTGTGCGAGTCCCCTGCTCCGAAAGGCCTAACCTGCATCCTGCACCCAGTACAGACACTTGGCTCACAATGTGCGTCGTCCTGGCCTGCCTGTGCGCACAGGACACTTCTGACACACTTTCCTACTTTGGACGGCTTTGTGTTCTGTGCATTTGTTCCCCTGTAGCTATTTCTTTCAGAAACAGGGCACTTTCTTTCCACTCTTCCTCTCTTAGGAGGGATGCGAGCACTTTCCTTCTGTTTTTTTGTCACACAGCACTCAGCACTGGGATTTAGTGGCTGTAGCAGTCAAGTACATGTCTGAACTCTTTCTATCAAAACATTCCCTCAGAGTCCCCACAGAACCACCAAAACATGAGCAATACGAGAACCCTCTGAACAGTTTCAACTCAATGTTTCAAAGCAAGCCTTTGAAAAGGGAGCATCTGTGGTTAAATAGGGATTTCAGAAATGATGTTACCACCCCCAAAATGGTTTGCCTTTTCATCTTGTGTTGCTTTCCTCATCAATGCGGCTTGGTGACTCATTGATGAGCAGCAGTGAGTGATTACAGTATTGGATGCATTGTGATGCATTGTGATGCTCGAACTGGCTGAGTCAATTCAGTGGCTAGCTTTGCACTTGGCTAGCTAACAGTAGCTGCTAGGGGTAAGTCATAACCTACATTTGTGTTTTATTTTTACATATTGGTAGCTAGAGTCGTTCAAGGAATTCGGGACATGGGTGACTAGTTAACGTTAGTTTTGCTCTCTCTGTGTGTTCGTGCTGTGAAAGGAGGGGTTTCTTCTTTGTCTGAAAGCAATGGCTAGCTAGTATGCTAACTATTCTAGCTAACTAACTGGCTGAATAAGTTGACGACGGACTCGCTCAAGCTGTCGGGACTAACACACAACGTTAGACACGGACACGAACGATCTGCTTGGCGTGTTGACACACTGGTGGTTTGTTGTGGCCGAGTATTGGTGCTAAACCGTGTTGTTGGAGTCCGGCATGCTAGCTGGCTGTGGCGTCTTATGACTAGGTGCCCTGGACGATTTTCACGGAAGAATACTGTACCTAGTTAGCTAGCTGAATAAACTAAGTTAGTATATTCCTAGAAAACATTGAACCGCTGTAGTTTACAACAATTATAGTTTCTGAGGTGGACGTTGGGAGAGTTATATTTGGGTGTTGTGGCGAGGGAGGCCCCGCTCTCTCCTTTCCCAGATGTTTAGTTCATTTCATTCCGATCTCCTTTGCATTATTGTAGCCATTTTCTGCAGCCTGTCAACTATGCCTCTGCCTATCCCTGTTCTCTCCTCTCCGCACAGGCTATACAAACGCCTCACACCGCGTGGCTGCTGCCTCTCTAACCTGGTGGTCCCTGCACGCACCACCCACGTGGAGTTCCAGGTCTCAGGCAGCCTCTGGAACTGCCGTTCTGCTGCCAACAAGGCAGAGTTAATCTCAGCCTATGCTACCCTCCAGTCCCTCAACTTCTTGGCACTGACGGAAACATGGATTACCACTGAAAACACTGCTACTCCTACTGCTCTCTGCTCGTCTGACCATGTGTTCTCGCATACTCCGAGAGCATCTGGTCAGCGGGGTGGTGGCACAGGAATCCTCATCTCTCCCAAATGGACATTCTCTATTTTTCCCCTGACCCATCTGTCTATCTCCTCATTTGAATTCCATGCTGTCACAGTCACTAGCCCATGTAAGCTTAATATCCTTGTCATCTATCGCCCTCCAGGTTCCCTTGGAGAGTTCATCAATGAGCTTGACGCCTTGATAAGTTCCTTTCCTGAGGATGGCTCACCCCTCACAGTTCTGGGGGATTTCAACCTCCCTACGTCTACCTTTGACTCATTTCTCTCTGCCTCCTTCTTTCCACTCCTCTCCTCTTTTGACCTCACCCTCTCACCATCCCCCCTACTCACAAGGCAGGCAATACGCTTGACCTCATCTTTACTAGATGCTGTTCTTCTACTAATCTCACTGCAACTCCCCTCCATGTCTCCGACCACTACTTTGTATCCTTTTCTCTCTCGCTCTCCTCCAACACTACTCAACACTACTCACAATTTGTAAAGTGGTTGTCCCACTGGCTATAAGGTGAATGCACCAATTTGTAAGTCGCTCTGGATAAGAGCGTCTGCTAAATGACGTAAATGTAAATGTAAATGTAATGTTTTACTCACCGATGCAGTCTGGTCCCCAGTACCCTGGACAGCACCGGGGCTCATCTACCTGCTTGTAACACTCATGAGAACAGCCCTTGATGGACAGCACCAGACTGGCCATGGGACTCACACGGTACCTACAGAGAGAGAGATTACATATTACTGGGAGATACCTGGTGTAGGATATAGTACTACAGTAGTCACAATGCTCTGTACAACATCTGGTTTTGTCTTATGTCAAGCAGAGACATGAGATATGACTTAGATGTCTCCTTTGTCTATTCCATTTCTCCTTCACTCCCTTCCCTCTTCTGTCCCCTTCTCCCCCCATATTCCACTTCACCTCTCTCCTATCCCTCTTCCACCCTCCTTTCCTCTTCTTCATCTCCCCCTCCCTTACCCCCTTGCCCACTCACTTGCAGTCCGGGTTGCCCTTCCCGGGGATCTTCTTGTTGTAGCCTGCTGGACAGCCCACGTTGAAACTGATGCTACAGGAGTGGCACTCTGTCTTGGTCATCACCAGGGTTGTCCTGTCACACCGGTTCTGCTGTGGTGGAGGGAGAAGAGCGGTTATTGTAAGACACACCCACACAGACCTCGTGCTGTGTGTCGTTGTGGACTGAGGAACACACAAATAACCACACACAACAGTGTACTGAAACACTTTTCTTATCTCAGTTAACTTCCCACTCTGTGTTATAAGTCATAAACTCACATAACGGTTCCTGAGTTACCTGATGAATGTACCAGGGCCGCATCCCCATGTTCATAACTGAATGTTGAAGCCAATGCCCTACAGAGCCCTCACCGATCCTCTTATCCACTCATATCAATGGAATTTTCCACAGTTCTTAAAACAGTTGAGAGAGGTCAGACTATTATTTCCTGCCTGCCTTTCATCATACTAAAATAACATAACTATGGAATAAACCACCACCATATAACCCAACACCCAAGCCCCCTACAGAGAAAACTGTGTTTGTGCATGATGAATAGCTTGGTCTTTGGCAGTAGTGTACTCCTGGGTACACACAGTGTGTTGGCATCATCAAAGCTTATTTTAGAGTATTTGTTTACTTTGACCAGAGTTGCACAGACGTTGGGTAAACAGGAAGATTTTGTTTAATTACTTCTGCTGGGACCGGCATCATCTGATCTCATCTACCCAGCATGCAACAGTACCCGGGCGCTACTCAGAGAAACCACAAAGCTCAGACATGACACGCACAAAACATGCTAGTTATGTTTCAAAACCACATAGAGCCAACCCCTGAAACACAGCACAAAGTCATAATACAATATACCATCCAAAATCCCCAAACCACACAACAACACTTTAACATTTCCAAAACAGTCAGCAACAAAACAAGGCCAAACAAGTCAAGCTGAATTGTTAGATACTACTGCTGAATTGTTAGATACTACTGCTGAATTGTTAGATACTACTGCACTGTTGGAGCTAGGATCACAAGCATTTCACTACACCCACAATAACATCTGCTAAATATGTGTATGTGACCAATACATTTTGATTGGATTTGTATTGTGTGTCCAATGCCCACTGCTCCCTGACCACTCGTGGCAGTGCTTCCATAGTTCTAGATACCAATGAGAGTGTGACGGTGTGTCCGAATGGCGAATGCACTCACGTGTGTGCGGTAAATGTGGGACTCACCTTGGCGGCAGCAGCAGTGGAGGTAGTGTAGTGGTCTAACCTCAGAAGTAGCAACATGAGCAGCAGTGGTTCGGTCACAGGCTCCATACCTCTGGATCTCTCTCCTTCTCTCTCTCTCTCTCTCTCTCTCTTAGTATCACTTGCTGTGCCCCTGTTGCTCCCTCTCTCTACCTCTCTGACCCACTCCCTGTCACTTGGAGTCACTCTTTTTTGCTCTCTCTCTCCTTCCCTCTCTGAGGCTCGTCAGTGGACTGTGACCACTCACTTAGCCCATCTGACTTTTCAACAACCCCCCTCCTCTCTCCCCCTCCCCTCCCCTCAACTCCACTCTTTCCTGTGCCAATAGTACCAGAGCGGGTCACCTGCATTCATACACTCCACACACGAGCACATATACAAATATGCATGGTCATACTGTCCATGCAAACACACACACACACACACACACATAACACACGCGCTCACACACGAATACGCACAGACATACAGACACACACACAGGCACACACACACAATCCCCCCCTCACACACACACACAATCCCCCCGGCACACACACACACACCCACACACACACACACACACACAATCCCTTCATCCGTCTATACTCTAGCATCTGTCAGCAGTTGGAAGGGGGGGTTAGGTCTGGTCTTGTCTTCAAACAGTGGTGTTGGAGGGAAGGAGAATGGCAGGATATCCTGGACTGTAAATAAGATTCACCCTCTCCTGTCCCATCTGCACTCTTCCTGACAACATTCTGTCCCGTCATGACTTTCAGACCCAGCGTTTTCCAAGAAGAGGTCAGGATGACATGCTTTATGCTGAGTGGCATTACTGACCTAACACACACACACGTACATGCACGCACACACTCATATAAGTGTTACCAAAGCAGTGCAATGCATTGTGAAAGGGTTGAGGGTGTGGTTCATCCCTTGTTTACGCTGAAGCATCAACATACAGATGGAATCATACAACACAGGAAATCTTCCAAATACCAAAAACATGAATTAACTAACATACAGTGTTACAGTGTTGACTACTCATATAATCCAATCAACACCAATGGTGTTTAATCCCACTGATCATATCAGCTTCATTTGGCAAATGGCCCAAAGAGCAGGGATTACCATGTATGTCACCTTCATTCCTCATCCAGCCTCTCCACAAAGTACGGAATCACGCTAATCATGCCAGAACATGACGGGATAATTCCATTTGCATAGAGGGGCCACTCAGGTGAGAGGGGAGAGGTAGATCCTCAGAATATCTTGAGGTGGGAGCTCAGAGGTTACGGTTGTGGTTGTGGTTGAGATAGACAGCAACAGCACAGCCCTGGCTGATCTACGCTTGGACTGGGGTTTGGGCCAATGCATACCATTGGCAGAGGGTGGCACAGCTTTGGCAGAGGGTACAGTGCCCATCATCTTGGCAGTGTTCACAGTCTTCCCTCGGGAGGGCTTCCTCATGTCTCCAACAACCTCCTGGTCACAGTCATGTTGATGAGGAACCCACACGTCCTGTTCATCCCCATGAACATCATCATCCTCCGCCTGGCCGTCTCCGACCTCCTACAGCTCCACTGTTGCTACAGTGACCAATTACGGGTTCTGTCTCTTCCAAGTCTTTGCAGTCAGTTACATTGGTGAGTCGTTTTTGATGCTATTTGTATTGGCTGTCCGATTAGATCATTGTTTTAGGTGTTAATTGTTTTCAGGTTTGTTGACCACAACCAGTCACCTGTTAGTCACCAGTGTCCCTCAATTAAATGGAGCTAATAAAGAGATTGGTTGAGACATATGTTAAAGGGATGTACAACCGTTTTCTGGTTTTACATGTTTTGACAACATTTGATTACCTCCTTTAAACACCATAAGGTCTGGTATCTCTGTGGACACTCACCCTGCTGGTGCATGAGCAGTCATGTGCCCATGGCTGGCCTGCCTGCCCTTGGCCCTGGCCCCTCTACTGGGCTGGAGCTCCAATCTCCACTGGAACAGAGATACACTAAAGCTAGTGGACGCCAAACATAGTTTTAAAGTGCTACAGTATTATTACTTGACATGTCTTGGACATCTGGGGCAACTACAGCTTCCTGGTACCCTGCATGGTCTTCTGCTTCCTACTTCCCTCTGTGGTTATAGTCTACTTTTACAGTAACGTACTCAGTACCATGAGGAGGGTACTAGGTGGGGGGAGAGGTGTGTGTATGCCAGTATGTACCTGTATGTGTTGTTTCAGCTGAACCATAGCATGGAGCAGCAGGGCGGTAGATCCTAGCCATGATCGGGGCCTTTTTCCTCTGCTGGCTGGCCTACTTCTGCCTGGCCATGGTGGAGGTCTCAGCCCCACACCTCCTCATCCCTCCTCTCCTGGCCATACTGCCCACCTACCTGGCCATACTGCCCACCTACCTGGCCATACTGCCCACATACCTGGCCATACTGCCCACATACCTGGCCATACTGCCCACCTACCTGGCCATACTGCCCACCTACCTGGCCAAGTTCCATACACAACCCTGTCATCTACTTCCAGACCAACACAGGTAATGGACTGAATTTCCTTGTCAGGGGTTATAGGTTAGGGGTCAGGGGTCAGGGTGTAAAGGGTAAAGGGTGTATTTTGAGGTGCAGTTACTCTCCCCACAAAGGGGCCATCCAAGTACAGTAAATAGTACATTTGGATAAGACTGGTAAAGCACTTTCATGGCAAATTCATGGTAATTATCCAAAGTTAGAACACTAGGCTTCAACTTCCACCAATTTTTCCTTTGTAGATCTTAGCTTCAATTCTGAAATGGCAGTTCACCACCTCTTTTACCACAGTCCCATCACTCTCTTCTCTATCTCCCTCGCTCTCTCTCTCTCTCTGTCTGTCTCCTTCAATTCCGTGATTATGCTCTGTAGCTCCTGTCCTGTGGCCATTACGTCCCCAGTGTCTTTGCCGATACAGATGACACCAGTACAATGGTAATTGGCTACAGACGTTGTGGAGTCATTCTGCCAACACCAATACAGATGTAGGATCTTCATTTGAGCCAATTTGCTACAGCAGGAATAATCCTGCAGCAACAGGAAATGTGAATTATTATGTGGATTATAATTAACTTACATTTTTGTAAGGGTTGATACATCGTAAGGGAAAATCAAGTCTGAAATTACCAAGTGGAAGTTACAAACTTCAGAAGCCTTTTTAAATCTCAAATACACAACATGTTTTACATTTCCTGCATTGCAGGAAAGTTCTCCTGCAACAGGGTGATCAAATTAAGATCCTACATCTGTACCTATCATCGTGGACTGAACCATTGTTCAATCTCCATTGGAACAGAGATACACTAAAGCTAGTGGAAGCCAAACATAGTTTTAAAGTGCTACAGTATTATTACTTGACATGCCTTGGACATCTGCTGTGCATATAAGCATATACAGACACTATTTTAATTAAATGTGATGGCAAACAAATGAAAAGCTTCCAGTCGTTTCAGGAAATGGTAAGCTTGTGTGACCCTTAACCTCCTTCCAACCCCTTCAACCCATAACGTTTTATCCATGTATGTCATCTGGCTCTCAGCGCCTGTAAAGGTCAAGGCTAAAAAAGTATTTCTGAAGGCTCTAAGAAAACACTCTGTCCTTCTCCTTTGTCACCAGATTTGCTGAGATTACTTCCTGATTAGACATCCCAATAAGAGCATCTATCATCGCCAATGCAGGATTAGTGGTTTCTGGATTACATAGCAACATTAAAAAAGAGGATTTCTTATTTGACTTAGTGGATTGCGGCTGGGAAATCTGGGTGCATGTTCATTCATTTTCTCTAGCAGGTTTGTCTCTATGTAAACTACATTATCATGCAATGCCTGCATTTGAACTCAAGAGGACAGCAAAGAGTACAGAATGAGAGCAGTTCTGTAAGGACCTGTTGAAATGGTTGGCTATAAATGCACTGCTCATCAGTGGAGGCTGGTGGAAGGAGCTATAGGAGGACGGGCTCATTGAAATGGCTGGAATGGAATTAATGGAATGGTATCTAACACATCAAACATATGGAAACCACATTTTTAACTCCATTCCATGTATTCCATTCCAGCCATTACAATGCGCCCATCCTCCTATAGCTCCTCCCACCAGCCTCCACTGCTGCTCATATTATAATAAGAAAGATAGTGAGTGAGATATATCTGGAAGAAATACGGAGAAGGAGTCGAAAGAGAGAGAGAGAGAGAGAGAGAGAGAGAGAGAGAGAGAGAGAGAGAGAGAGAGAGAGAGAGAGAGAGAGAGAGAGAGAGAGAGAGAGAGAGAGAGAGAGAGAGAGAGAGAGAGAGAGAGAGAGAGAGAGAGAGCTTGAAATAAAGTCAGATAGGGGATACCACTCATTAGGCAGAAAGAGGAATCAAGTCGAAAGTCGAGGAGAGGGAAGAGTGAGTGTTTTGTTGAGAATCTTAAGTGTGGTGATGTATGCTCTGGATGCCTGCCTTAGGGTTAGAGGGCACTGGCACCAAGAATGCTCTGTCCAGCCAAACTCCTAAGGGTTGAACCCATGCCGACTGGCAGGGGTTGCCATAGACAGCCCTGTGAGATTCCGGACACATGAGAACACACAGTTGAGGAAAGACACAGTCTGAAAAGAACATAAAACTTGGCTCAGTCTACTATGTTTTTATGCTTGGATGCACAAGTAATGCCCATGGAAAACATGAAAAAATATATATCGAATCCAAACAGAGACAAAACATAACTTATGGTCCACTAATGAATGCGTCCAACTCTGTGGGCATGGATGGAGCACATCAGCTTCAAACAAAAGTCAGTGTCACTGGGTTTTCACTGGGTCCCAATGTGTTTTATTAAGCAGATATTACTATGCTGTCGGGGCTCTCATAGCGCCTTTGACGCAAATCCTCACCCCCTCTGTGATTGGCTAAGAAATAACACTGAGAAAAACTAGTCTGGGGTTGAATGACTGGAATAGGCATTGTTTTCAGCTGTGGATCTCCTGTTGAATCAACCCAGAACAGTATCCATCCATATTCACACTGTTTTTCATTCTATCATATATATAAACGGACCCTCAAGGCCACAATGTGTAGTGGATTAGACTGTGTAGTGGATCAGACTGGCAGTCTGTTTCTCTGAATGTGTTTACATGGGTTCTAGATTATGTGGCAAAGCCCTCCATTTTAGAAACATTGGGTGTATTCATTACAGAAACCGTTTAGAGTTTCTATCAGACAAATTCAGGTAGGTCCATCCCTGTTTCGTTCCGTTTGCTTACATTTAAAAAACGTTTTGCAACAGAATTGGCATAATGAATACGCCCCTGGTCTTCATCTGTTTGGTGAGAGTGACATCTTACAAGGCCCAGTTTGTGTTTCCCTCTGTCCTGTTAAAATAAACTCACTAGAAGTCAAACGTGTGCTATGTTCCTCCTCCTCATGCGTCAAACTACAGTCGGCCACAGGCTTCAAGGGAGACTACAGATGAATCAAAAGAAGTTATCCATGAATAGTCTGGATTAATTTAAAGTGTTTATTTTAAAAGTTGGAGGGGGGGGGGGATATATTTATTGAGTTAAACGTAAGAGGTAAAGATTTATTTTGGTCTTGTGGACAGAGAATGAGAGGAGCATGGCCAAGATATGAGAAAGGAATGAGTGTTGACCTACACTATGAAAATGTTGTAATTTTGACTGAGGCATAGACACACAAGGAGACGATTCAGACTGAGAAGTTCAGAAACAGATTAGATCAATGAAAAATAATTTCAAAAGAGCCAAATAACTTTAATACAGGATATTATGGTCCCTCATGTGGGCCCGTGTGGCTCAGTTGGAAGAGCATGGTGCTTTCAATGCCGGAGATGTGGGTTCAATTCCCATGGGGGACCAGTACAAAAATGTATACACGGACTATTGTAAGTTTCTCTGGATAAGAGCGTCTGCTAAAATGTAATTATGTCCTTAGTATCTCACTTTATGGACTAATTTAACTGAAAAGGGACGGCCAGAAATAAGACATAAGTAATCCTCCATTTATTTTGTTAATTCTCGGAATGTAACTGGAGCACCTGATTCCTGAAAGCAGTCCTCTGAAAACAAAAACATGAATGAAACATCAACCGCTCTCCTCTCCTCCGTCTCTTCCCACCTTCTTTAGGTCTGGGTTTCCCCCTATCCTCTCACCAGTAAGTCATAGTGCTGGAAGCTTAAGGGAAATTGAAGGGTCAGTATCGTTAGCCTTTTAAAGGCTCTTTAAGAGAAAGCACTCGCGGTATTTAGCATAGCATCGCCACTTCTCACATAGCACAGCCTCTCATTCAGGAGAGAGAGAGAGAGAAAGAGTGAAAAAGAGCATGAAAGCAAGAGCGAGAGAGGTGGACAGAGGTAAAGGAATAGAGAGACTGAAAATGGAAAGAGAGTGAGAGAGGAAAAGAAAGGAGAGAGGAAGAGACGGAAGAGGTTTAAATTCTTAGAGACAGCAAGAGGAATGCTCAGAAACCAACTCAAGCATCTCCACGGTCCTGCTGCCAGTGGGTCTAATGAGACCAAACTGCTCCATTCCTTCATTTATAGCTGGTTTTGGATCCAACAAGACACACACAAACACAGGAAAGAGAAAAAGTGGATTGGACAGGAAAAGGACAACAAAGGAGCTTAGTAATACAATGACGACAAACAGAAAACTAACTTTGACAAACACAAACTGTATGTCTGAGAGCTTTGGATGGGCTTGAATCTTTAAGACAATCTCATCGTGTGATACAGCATAATTTAATATTTACAAAATGTAAACAATTTACAAAAATACTACGTAATTTGACATATTCTCAATCAAAGCACCTGTAGCTTTAATCTGCTCTGAATTTCGCAATCTGAATAGTAAAAATATATATATTTTAGGTTTCAAGAAATCTTTCCAAAATTTCTCAAATAAAAATGTCATGGTATCATATATATTTTTTGAATCATTAACAGTTTATTCCAAAAATACAAAGCATTTGAATGATTATTTCAATACTGATTTCTATGCATTGATACTGCTTCTCTCGACCTTTCCAACAAGAATAAGCCTAATCTATCCACCATCAATCACCATAAAGCCATGGGTGGAAGCAGGATCTGTCCTTACTCCCTAGCCTGTAACAGAGTCATAGGAATTATACAAAAGATGGCAACCTCTGACGGTTGCCCAATCCCTGTACTGTCTACAGGGATCTAGCCTGCTGTTGTCTATATGAGACTTCGTTCTGATCTGGAAATGTACTGACACTGTTTGTTTCCTGCATCTACTCTACAGTCCTCTAAAGCTGTTGCTGCGCTGCAGGACTGAGTCATCGTCCCTTTGTTCTCCTCTTAGACAACATTCACTAAGTCCATTTGATGACTTGAAGAGTGACGTTTTAACTTTCATCAAAGTTCAGTTTGTTTTTATCATTGAGTCCAAGTTTTGTGGCTCATTTCTCCTCCTCTGAGTAAATTGTGGAGATGTCCATGTTTGGTAATCAGAGTATGTGGATGCTCAAGCCTCTGAAACACTGTGGAACTCCTGTCCCATTGGATAGCCTCCTACAAGGCTAAGCCAATCAAAATCAACTATTTTCCACTGTCTTTGTCCACCTCTGATGGTGCGGTGTATAAATACTGTCTTCCTGAGGGTTGAGATGGAGGGTTGTTGATGCTGCGCCCCCCTTGTCCATGGGAGAGAGGAATGATGGGGGAGTCTTTTAGTCTCTCATTGGGGACGGTGTGTGTGTGTGTGTGTGTGTGTGTGTGTGTGTGTGTGTGTGTGTGTGTGTGTGTGTGTGTGCCATCACCTGCCTCCCTCTCCCTATTTACAGGTGTGCATGTCGTTCATGCTCTCACACTTCTGACACCTCACATAACAACACCACACAAACTTACACTCGCACCTCTCTACGTGGCGAACCACGTGTGTATTATACCCTCGACCGCAGCAGAGCAGGTTACACCCGTCGGAGCCGGCCGAGGTGCGGTTACACCGGCGCCCTCTAGTGCCCGCCACGACCCAGCGCCGGTCCTCCAGACAGTAGTTAGGAGACTTGTTGAGGAAGATAAGTTCTTCCTTCCCGATGGGCACGCGACGCTGGTCCTTCTCCTTCCTCCTCACCTTCCTATTGGAGCGGTCCAGCACCTGCACGCTTCCCTCATAGCGCTCCTTCAGGAAGTTGCCCACGCGCTCGAACGACGCCATGGTGCGCCAGCATGTCTTGACGGCGCACGAGCCCGACACGCCGTGGCAACGGCAGTCGGTGGCCATTGTCTTGGCGACAGCCTGAAAAGGGGAAAGATGGGGAAGATGGTGTTAGGAATTACAACAGAAAAAACACTGTAAATGTTACGACAGACTAGCTACCAGAACTCTGTTTGATAGAGACTGCCTTTTGTTTACACAAACGCTGTGGGAACGTTTTGAATGCTGGATCTATTGTTCTGAATGCTGGATTTTGGACTGTAACTGGGACTGTAACATGAGTCCTGAGGTTTGTGCATTCTACTTCTAACTCTGACAGAATAGACTCCCTGGAACAAAAGTTACACTGTCCTTCACAGTTTAAACTGAGAGATAGAGGAGACATTTTCTATGACCACAAACCCCAGGGTTCTACAGTGGTCTTTGGATGACCCCAGAAGAGCCCACCACTTTCACCCCTTTCCACCTCTTCTCCCACCCCCTCTTCCCTGTTGGTTCAGTTTAGTTGGAAAGCAGTGTGTGTGTGTGTGTGTGTGTGTGTGTGTTTGTGTGTGTGTGTGTGTGTGTTGTGTGTGTGTGTGTCTGTCTGTCTTTGTGTGTATGAGTATGCACAAGCAAGAGTGTGTGTTACAGTAAACAGATACACTGCTGCCATTGTATCCACATCCCTCTCCAGTGGTGAAGCCCTCTCCTCTTGACAGTGGCTAGTTGATCAGAGAGGAACCCAGTAAGTGTGTAACGGGCATGCCACGCCCACCTGAGGATCTGTATTTTTCAAATATCTATTTCCTATGTTTGAGGGATGCAAAATCCACTTGTCACTTAAATCTTGCTGGATTAATTGCTTTCATTTTACTCCTGCGACTCCTTCATACTCTTGGTTGTGCCTGACGTTTTTTTTCCGTTAGCGTTACGACCACGGAAATGTTTGTAATGACCTGTCAAACACACCCGGCTCAATGGAATACATTGTTTTACCGTTTAATCTAATTTATAAGAACACTAAAGCTTCGTCTGGGATTTAACGCATTGTCTCAACACGTACATCACAAGAAAGACAACTTTATTTTGATGGGTGTTCATTTTTTGTGTAATTAAAAAAAGTTATCATTTAATACAGTTGAAATGTTTACAAAGTAGATGCCCTGAAATGAAAGCAACTCCCGAATATGAACACTTGGATGATAGTGATATGTCTGATCTCGCAGTCGCAAACAATGTAAAGTACGTTTAGATAGGTGTAATCTAGAGCCAATTTGTTGACTTTTTTATCCGAGGGTAATTATGCAAGAGAATGTAACAACCACAGAAATTAATGAGGCAGTCTAGACAGCGCAGGGTTAGACAGAGAAAGTGTTGGGTAGTTGCAGCCCTACTCCACCCCGTTATGTTAATTTATTCATATATACACAGCCTGTGTATTTATGCAAATGAGGCACCTATAATTTTCTTTCTTTTAAGACAAAATAGATTTAAAATAAATACCTGATAGAATAAAAAAAATTATACAGTGCCTTCAGAAAGTATTCACACCCCTTAACTTTTTCCACATTTTGTTGTGTTACAGCCTGAATTTTAAATAGATTAAATAGAGATTTTTTTGTCACACAATACCCTATCATTTTACAAATTAATAGTCAATAAGTATTCAACCTCTTTGTTATGGCAAGCCTAAATAACTTCGGGAGTCAAAATGTCAGATAATAAGTTGCATTGACAATAATGGTGTTCAACATCATTTTTGAATGACTACCCCATCTCTGTGCCCCACACATACAATTATCTGCAAGGTCCCTCAATCAAGCAGTTAATTTCAAGCACAGATTCAACGACAAAGACAAGGGATGTTTTCCAATGCCTTGCAAAGAAGGGCACCTATTGGTAGATAAAAATATATATAATTAAAGCTCACATTGAATATCCCTTTGAGCATGGTGAAGTTATGAATTACACTTTGGATGGTATATCAATACACCCAGTCACTACAAAGATACAGGCGTCTTCCTAACTCAGTTGACGGAGAGGAAGGAAACCACACAGGGATTTCACCATGAGGCCAATGGTGATTTTAAACCAGTTACAGAGTTAAATGGCTGTGATAGGAGAAAACTGAGGATGGATCAACAACATTGTAGTTACTCCACAATACTAACTTAATTGACAGAGTGAAAAGAAGGAAGCCTGTACAGACTAAAAATACTCCAAAACATGCATCCTGTTTGCAATAAGGCACTAAAGTAATACTGCAAAAAATGTGGCAAAGAAATGAACTTTTTGTCCGGAATACAAAGCATTATGTTTGGGGCAAATCCAACACAACACATCACTGAGTACCACTCTTCATATTTTCAAGCATGGTGGTGGCTGCATCATGTTATGGGTATGCTTTTCATCAGCAAGGACTAAGGAGTTTTTTAGGATAGAAAGAAAAGGAATAGAGCTAAGCACAGGCAAGGTCCTAGAGGAAAACCTGGTTCAGTTTGCTTTCCAACAGACGCTGGTAGACAAATCCACCTTTCAGCAGGACAATAACCTAAAACGCAAGGCCAAATATACACTGGAGTTACTTACCAAGACAACATTGAATGTTCCTGAGTGGCCTACACCTAAATCTCCCACCAAAATGTGCTATAATTAAGTCAATATCCGATGGATTATACAATTTCAAAACGTTTGGAGTATCTTCATCCATTGTCCAACTGTTGCATTTATTAGAATTGGTTTGAAAACCTTTTAACAATTTTGATGACCGTTGCTACAATTTAGATGGCCTTGTGTCTACTTGAATGGCTGTGAACATACATTAGTCACGCTGTCACGCCTCACCCATTAACTCATATTAGAGAGGATGTCACACACTTTCTTCCCCCTCTCTCCTTCTGTCCTGTCTGAGCATCACCCTCTCACACTGACCTTCTTGTTCTCCCTTCCCTCTATTCTGTTTCCTCCAATCTTTCTGCTTTTCTCTAAATATCGTTCCCGCTCTCTCTAACACACACACACACACACACACACACACTTCCTAGAACATCTCCTGAGAGTATTTTTAACAGTGTGTGATAAATTCTATTAACCACTGGATGATTTGGTCCTCACTCCTCTCCAACCCCATATGGTGAACCAAACCCAGAACTATAATAGCTAGGATTCCTTTCACGGTGCTAGATTAGTACTGTCATATCAGCCATTCGTTCAGACACAATGAACCCTACACCTGCTAGAGTCTTGATTACTAGAGTTATGGCTCCCATGAGCCCTATTCAGCTTTTACATACTCTCCAGAGTACCCTCAACAACTGTGTTCACTAAAAAAAGACTGTCTCTCTCGGTTGTGTGTGTGTGTGTGTTTTGTTCTGTGGTGTATTGTGTCTAATCTAACTTCATTATTGTGCTGTTTTTGTTCTGTACACTGTGTGTGTGTGTGTGTGTGTGTGTATGTGTTCTACATGCTCTGTGAGTGTTCTTCGCCCTCAATGAGTGTATGTGTGTGTTGGGTCTGTGTGTGTTGGGTCTGTGTGTGTTGGGTCTGTGTGTGTTGCGTCTCACCTGTCTCCCGGCTTCACTGTTGTGCTGGTTCATGGTGAGCAGTGTATCCCCTCCCCTGGCTGAGGACATATTCTTCACTGCATTATCTATGAACTTCCTGCTGAACCAGGTACCGTACTGGATATGGTCTGAGCAGCCGCCCCAGTGCCACCCTTCGCTGGGCGAGCCTGTGCCCTGCAGGCTTGTGTCACAGCCGCACTCCGTCATGTTGCCCGCGCTGCAGGAGCGCGTCACTGCCTGGACCAGCCCCGCCGCCATCACCGCGTAGATAAACGCTGTCTCCTTGGTCCCTGTCAGAGTCAATGAAAAGAGGTTGTTAGAAGGGCAAAGGTACGCATGGATTATTGTGTAACAGTACCTCTAAAGCTTGCAATGGGTGGATTCCGAAAAGATCCCACTGTCACACCTTTCAGCCAATAACACTTCAGACAGAGGAAAATGGCACAATTCTAGCCTTAGAACTTCTGTGTATCTCAGTAGCTCAGGCCTAGATAGCCATATACCTTCCATCCACTGTAGTCGTATAATACACCTTAGCTCTGGAGGGATACAAGTGAGATGTGAGTTCAGCAGACACATAGCCCCATGGGAACTGTCCTGCCCTGTGTGAGGGGGGCGTTGGGTTGCACTTCACAGGTTAGCGGCCACAGTAGACCCTCAGTGAGGACAGACAAGCACTGGCTCACTACTACAACACGAGAGCGAAAGAGAGAGATAGAGAGAGAGAGAGACTTAGAACATGTTAGTATGATGTTGGTAACAGTGTAGCATGGATCAAACTGGTATCACAGTTACTGGTAAGACCATCTGGAAAGCTGAACACCGGACAGACACATTAGATTATGTCCTGTAATGAACGAAGGCTGAAAAAATGTAAACCCAAGTGAATGTGTAAGGGGGTAGCCTACTAATGTATATAGCTTATGGAATGTGCTTGTTAGACAAAACTCTAAAATATGCAGAATCTTATGGATAGAACAGAAGCATACTGGCACCTGCCGACATCAAGTGTAACTATTCAGAGAGTGCAGGTCCTAAGAATGACATAGTGTTTAAAGGTCATGCATAGTCTATCCACACTTTGCTGTCAATCAAGGATCAAACGGAAATCAGAGGTCCAAGCCACAAGTTGATCCACAACGTTTGTGCGTAATTTATGTGTGGGTAAATGGAACAACAAGAAATCACCACTTCAAATTTGAGTTTGGCACTTTGAAGGTTTGATTATTAAAACAAATGACAATTGCGGTTATTTAGGTTATCCGTGCTGCATTATATTGTCAAACTTTATCAAAAAGGAAAATTTGCTGCACCCTAACTCAATATGAACATTGTCTCCGAGTCCGATTAGATCAAGTTCCCGCTTTTAGAATACGAAGAAAATACATATGTGGTCAAAGAGCAGGGTATACATTTTTACAGTTGATTGTACGAGTCTGGACATAGGCTAAATCCATGTATTACCATCCCATTGTATCATGCAATAGGCCTAAATCAACATAAACTATATGGTCCGTTTTTTCTCCGATTTATTTCGTCTGGGTTGAGAGAAGAAAGTTGATAGATGGCATGTGACAGGGTGCAACAAGGATAGAGAGGAATTTGGAAGAATGAGTTTCATGTGAAAATAAAATGTTGATAGCTAAACAATCTTCGGAATCTGCATGGAGACAGATTTCTGGAACGGAATCTCTAAAACAAAGAAACTGTGTTCTTATGTTACATGTCGACCATGAATCTCCTAATTAGGATAATCCCGGCTGGTTTAGGACAAGAGGGGAGCAGGGGTTCTCTGTTCAAAGACAACACTTGACCGTGGATAAGTGGTGTGTTGGGACGGTTAAACCGAAGCAGATGTGCGCCCCATAGGGGATACAGCTGCTCGAGTCAGCAAATCAAATCACCTTCCCTTCCTGGCCAACATGAAACATTTTCATGACTCAAACCAAACCGACCACGAGTAAAGAGTTATGGAAAATGGAAGACTTGCCTCTTTCTGGCGCACTATCAAACAGAAAGACAATTGAGGAACTGTTTTTATACAGCAGTTGCCTAAAACGGTGAAATACTCAATTATGTGGGCACACATAATACATATCGGAATATGGACTATAAACACTATAATAGATGCACCCAAAATATAGTCTCATTTTCCAAATTAAACCCAATCAAAAAGAACATTATCAATAGGCCAGAAAAGTGCACACGAATTTATGCCAGCAGGGCACAAAGCACCCTATTGTTTTATGTCTATTAAAACTAGTATTTAAACCGCCTGTCTTTACCACTGGTTAGCTCGTAGCCGAACACAGAGAGCTCTTTGGTGGTCGAACAGTTCCACCGCTCGTGCATGAACTGCGTCTGGCACTCCGCGATGCCGATGCGCGCGCCGTCCTTTATACTGGGCAGGAGATGGGGCTTTCTCTTGCACAGGTCCTTCTGCTTGTGCGTCAACGGGAGATTGGCGCAGCCCAGCTTCTCCGCTACTCCCACGGACGTTATTCCCAACCACCTGAAACACAAGGTATGCAGCGGAGACAATAAGTTACTTTCTAAACCACTTTCATCCCCAAACGTAATCGCATTCTATGCGTAAAGAAAAATGTGCAATTTGACAAAAAGCTAAGCTTAATCACAAGCAATGAAATATACTTACATCCAACTGGCTCGACAGCAGACAGGATACAGTGAAAACAGTAAGAGAAACAGAAAGCAGATCTGATGTACTCCACAGCCGCTTCTTCTCTCCATGGCCACCTCATTTACAGAAGCCGACTGGCCTCCCGGGCACTGGGGAAGGGTATGTCCATGGAGCGCTGGATCCGTGCTGGGCTCTGTCTCATGCTAGCCCCGCAGCATAGAACCCTAACAGAAATAATCCTCAATCGGTGGTTATCTCGAGCAATTCAGTAAAAAAAAACATCCATGGGGAGAGAGAGGACGCGGGCAGGATGCTGATTCTAATCACGTGGCTTGGCGGCTGGTAGTAGCCTACAGTTGGCTGCGTGATAAGATAAGTTCCCCACGGTGTTCCCCAAAACGCAGACAAACAGTTTTATCCTGGACTGGGAAAACCCACACAGAGCGTCTCTCAGTGGCGCGCTCCCAGGCTCCGATTGGCGCACCCGTGGATTCATATTCAGCAGACGCGCCTGTCCTACGCGCTAATTGGACGGACGCGCAAAAGAAAAAACGCGTGCCGCCGCTGGCACTGACAGGAACTGAGCAAAACCTTTGGCATGGGAGAAGGTTGGTTTCCACTAGATAGCGCATCCAAAGTCAAAATTGGTTATAGCCCATCGTAAAAATGTATGAAAAATAAATGTACTTTTTGGTCTAAATTTGAGGTTAGGGTTAGGATTAATGTTAGCAGTATGGTTAAGGTTAGGGTTAAGGTTAGGTTTAAAATCAAATTTTAAGAAGATCAATTGTAGAAATAGACCGAGAAGGTGGAAGGAAGCACATAAGTCATCAGAACACTGTATAATGGTCACTTCACTCAAGCACTGTTAAGATAATCATGTCAGGCGAGAATAAAGATAATTTCCCCCCGATAAATTCCTTGATACGAAACCCTAAGTAACTTGAGTGCATAACATATTTATATAACATATTTATTTACATTTTGCCATTGAAATGTATAGCTTAAATGAATAAGGATTGATTCAAATGCAACGACAATTACAACCACATTGTCCATTGTGTTTTAGCAAACATTTTCAATTACTATTGAGTCGTTTGCCTTTTCCTGAATAGTAAATATCATATGTACAGTCAGAGAGCAATTTCAACGAGACAATTTAATTACATTTTCAAAAGGGTTGACTGTTGAGTATAGTGGACTGGGCTATAGGGCGGTATTGTGCAGACGAGGTGAGGTCTACTCAGCCCCCAGAAATGTCACAACCCCCCAAGCCTTTCAAATTCCCCGAGTAAAACTGTGCAGAGTGAAAGGTCTGGCTGAAATTTGATATCAGAGGTCCTTGGCGCGACAACAAACCAGGCGGGCCCACCGTCTTCAGGGCGGTTACATGTGCCCAAAAGTCAAGCCTTTGTCTATATAACCTTTTACATTAACCTACCTTTTGATCGAGACTATTGCGTCTACCTTATTCTATCCCTCACCCACTCAATGCTGTTAATTTGCCACATGCCGCACAAGACCATTCAATTTGAAACACTTTACGCACGCACTTCACGTTGTATGCGTTCCCTTTATTTGATCTACAAACTGTAAAACCAACGTTTTAAACAAATATGGAAATATGTTGAATATATCGTTACATTGTACTACATTTCATTGCGGTCATATAACCGTGTTTATAACGTTTTTTAGATAGGCCTTAGCTACATAATTTGAACACACAATTTTAATTGTAAATTGGCCTGAATAAAATAGACTAATAACTTTCTGGAATAAGGCCCTAACATTACATTGACCTTAAACACGACTTACGCCTACATTTAAATTTACATACTTTCGATCGTGTTGCTCGATCTCTGCCCAGATCACACCGTGGGTAGGGTGATTGGATGTGTCGGATTAGCGGGACATGACTGCAAAGCGGAGTCAGACAGGGCACATTACGCGCGAGACGGAGTAAAACCGTATTATACCGATGTCCATTTTATTATAGCACAGTTGTAGCCTAACTGAACATTTGTTTCCCTAATTATGTCCTTCTAAACCAGGTGACAGAGATGTATAGGCCTATGCGCGACAATAAATATGATCAAACGCTGTCTTGGTGGCACGCAAACAAACGAGCGCGCCTCTGCCCAGCTTCTTCAGAGAATCACACGTCTTCATACCTCTGCATGGTTGAATTGTGATGATGACTGTTAAAGGATTTGTCGAACACTGTGCGCAAACAGCATGCACAGGCTTATCCTCATGTGGTGCACAACTTAAAGGGGAAATATGCGAGGCCAACATCCTAATTGTTTACAAGCTAGGGCTTTGTGGAACTTTCAAAATACAGTTCCATGCTTTCAGAACACAGTTTATGGACACAAAGTTAAGAAAATATATATTTTAATGTGAGAATATTGTAATGGAATAACTCTTATATGTACCATCTGGAAACACAAAGCTGAAGTTAGTGCCATTTGAAGATACATGTTCTTTAATAATAAATTAATAGTGTTGATAATATTTTGCATAAAGCAAATATAATGTCTTTCTGTTCTTTTTCCTTCAAAATCACAGAATCAAATGATTAGGTTTGCTATCAATGTTCCATAGGACTACTATACAGAGCTATGCAGGTGGTCTCCACTCTTATGTGTGTGTGTGTGTGTGTGTGTATGCATGTGTTTGTGGCTATCTGTTACAATTACCTTCATCTTCACCAGCTCAGTTCCTTCCATACAAATGATCAGAGGACAGGTCAGACAATATGTATAAATACATAGCCTTCATTAGCATGTAAACAATATGCTGCATGTAAAACATTATACACTGATTATCAACAATATAGGCACAAATAAACATCTGTAGAAAAATATATAGAAATATAAGAAAATCATACATAAGACATTCGCTTGAAGAATAGCTCAGCTTTCGTCATATCTTTGGCATATAATAGAATACGTTGTGGTATCCACAGAACACGCGGATGAATGAGGTATATGAGGAGGAATAGCTGGACATCCAAAAGTCCCTCTAATGGCAAGAGATAGGCTTTCCTAATGCATAAAGGCATCAAAGGCACACATCAAAAGTTGTACAACAGTGGTTCTCAAACCTCTCCTCGGGGACCCCCAGACGTTTCACAATGTTGTAGCCCTGACCTAGCTCACCTGATTGGTTGACAAGTTGAATCTGAATCAGTTGTGCTAGCCCTGAGGAGAGGTTTGAGAACCACTGCTGTATAACATTTCAACAACGTTTCCACAACTATAAAACTATATAATTGTAAGGGTTTGTGCTGGAGCGTTGAGGGAGCATTGTCGGTTGGTGGGAGAGCAGGGCTTACATTTGGGATGTGCACACGACACACTCCTTCGACAGTCACTCTTTATCCAGCTGCTTCCATTGTCTTTCGGCAGTAGGCCAGCGATCCCCCTCTTTCGGCCATCTGGAAACCTCTACCTAGCAGAGGTAGGAGTCACATGACGGGAGGCCCAGTGTGTGGGCCAATCAGAGGAGGTCTGTGTGACAGACAGTGGTGACCAGTCACGGCTGACCAGTCAGGACTCTTCTGTTACTCCAGCACTTCCTGGACGGAATGACCTCTCATTCTTTAGAAATACGCTTGTATGGACACACACACACACACACACACACACACAGACACACACTCACACACACGCACGTTAGTAAGCAAGGACACAAGCACGCACACACACAGTCAGTGGTGGCGAGGGGTGGGTCTAGTTTCCCGTGTCTCTCACACACAGTCTACTCAGCAGGATCTGCGAGTACACCTGGTTCACTGCTCCTCTCACGTGATAGGTGGAGGAGTTAGACCCCGCCCACTGGTCCTGGTGCTGCAGGGTGGGCTGATCACTGAACCCAGTTCCAGTTCCACTGGTTCCGGTTCCAGGTTCCTCGCCGTGTCGAAGGAGCTTCATCTTCCTGTGCAGGGGAGCCTTGGAGAACGACAGCTTCTCCACCTTCAAGGAACACAGCGAGGAGAACCACATCAACACCTCACCTCTAACACAACATCTACATACTTATATTATACTGTAACTAACTAACTAGACCATGGCCAGAGCTTCTAATACCGGAGGCTAGCTAATGTTGCCTGGGGTTTCACAGAACAGAACAGAGTGGAAACCCATGGTCACAGTCTGGGGTTCCTCTAACTCTATTATAAACCACGCTGGAACAATCCAAGCCTGACCTAAATCCTGACATAATAGAAACCCTTTCCATCCCCTCAGGGGCTTGGGTTAGGCATTACTTAATTCATGGGTCCCATACACCCTTCTGGCTTCCCTATGGGAAATCCTGTTGTCACTTAAGACCAATATGAACTGGGAGGGGAGGGCGGGGATATGGAGGCGGTGCACATGCCCTTGTACGTATGCTGAAAACCACTTCACACACGTGTTGGGGCCCAGCTGCTATCAACGTGGGGCTTTACGGCCCAATAAAACCCGGCCTAACTGCTAATTACGGATTAACCGATCCAGGGGCCAATTTTATAGCTGAATTAAAACAAGTGACTGTTCTTTTTACAGGGAGCTGCAGAAGGGGGAGAGGGGAGTGTGTGTGTGTGTGTGTGTGTGTGTGCAGTGGTAGAAAAAGTACTCAAATGTCATACTTGAATAAAAGTACAAAGTAAAAGTAAAAGCTATACATCAAATTCCTTATATTAAGCAAACCAGATGGCACTATTTTCATATTATTTTTAATTACGGACAGACAGGGGCACACTCCAACACTCAGACATCATTTACAAACACAGTATTTGTATTTCGTGAGTCCGCCAGATCAGAGGCTGTAGGGATGACAAAGCGTTATATTGATAGGTGCCATAATTCTGTCCTGCTTGAGCATTCTAAATGTAAGGAGTACTTTTAGGCGTCAGGGAAAATGTATGGAGTAAAAAGTACATTATTTTCTTTAGGAATGTAGTGGAGTAAAAGTAAAAGTTGTCAAAAAGATAAATAGTAAAGTAAAGTACAGATACCCCAAAAAACTACTTAAGTAGTACTTAAAATTATTTTTACTTAAATACTTTACACCACTGTGTGTGTGTCTGTATGGTACAGCAGGATTTCCTTCTAGAAAGCTCCCTGACATGGAAGGTGATTGTTCAATCAAGAGGGCATAAGAACCGATTTCCTCTAGGCCCAGAAAATGGCTGCTCGGTATTTGGATCCTCCGTAGGTTTAAAGCCCAGGATTATTTAAGCCCAACGATTCCCTCAAGTCGGAGTGTGTGCGAACAGAAATAGCAAGTTATTTCAGAAATTACAGTCGGAGAGAGAGAGGGAGTCCTTGGGGAAAGAGCTTGCTGTGGATCTAGCTATGTTCCCTGGCCACTGAGATTTAGACAAACCATTAGTTACAATTGGTATCAATTACTGTATCCAGAGAGACATGCAATGCCTGTGTTATAGTGTTGATAACATTGTGCTGTGATTTGGATAACTGACTGGGAGGTTAACCAAATACTGAGAATGAATATAAACTATGATGAACAAAACAAACATGCTGAATTAGGATGTTCAAGGTGATACACACTGTTTCAATAAGGGTGAGGCGAGAACTTGGGCTACTGTCGTTTTTTAGATGAGGGTGAAGGCGGGTGGGGGGGTTACCTCATGAAAATGGCAGGCGCACCGTCCCTGCAGGAACTCTTTGTAGCGGCCCATGGTGATGCTGAATGTGTCTATGACCTCATACCCATAGTGCTTTGCGGCGGTGAGGATGTTGCTGTTCTCTCTGTACAGCTCCTGTACTCCTCTCTGGGCAAGTTAAAGTAAGACAACAAAGACGTAATCACTAATCAACACAAGGAAAAACCATCTTAAAACATTCACAGTGGGAGCCATATCGTAGCCATAACATTTGTACAGTTCTCTGATGCCCCTATTGCAACACGTCTGAAGTATAACTGACCGTTGAATTGAATTAGTTCTATTGCTGTTGAACGGGTGCCATTGCTGATGTTGGATCAGTCAGCATGTTGGAAGCCATGGAATATTAGCCAATAATGTTTTAGATAAATACACACGGCACGGTCAGAGGGCTATCCACCAGGTGCCTAAGCACTGGCTTTTAAAAACTTTAACAGATAAACAGTCAAATGAACAGCATGGAAAAATAATTAGAGTGAAGAGAGAAGCTGAGGGGGAAGAGAGAGAGAGAGAGGAAGACAGAGGAAGACAGAAAAAAGAGAGAGAGAGTGAGAGAGAGAGAGTGAGAGAAAAGAAAAGAGAGAGAGTGAGAGAAAGTGATCGAGAGAGAGAGATTCAGAGAGAGAAACAGAACAGTCAAACAGAGAAAAGAGTTGAGGAGGAGACACCATGAAAAGAGTGAAACTGAATGCACACAAACAGGAGGATGGACCCACCAGTGAGAGAGAGCGGATGCCGTCCACAGGGAGATGGAAGCCCATGCCCAGAGACTTCACCACCACCATGATATTCTGTAGCCCTTCCCTGGAGGAGAGAGATGGGTAAGCTGCATCTCTAAATTAGGTCTATTCTTGGCCAGTGAATAGATTTAATTAAGCAGTTGCTAATTCCTGAACGATGTCAGGAAGGGCGTTTGCCACAGAGTGTATGCATCAGTGGGTTTACCTCTCCAGCACCTCTCTCATGATCCTCAGATGGTTGGTGTTGAGCCACTGGACACCTCCTGCCACCAGCACAGTCTGACGGGAGTTCTCCAGGGGTTGCGACCTTCGGAGGGGATCAAAGGTCAAAAAGACATCAGCTCAGCAGTAGGACTATATCTATTGAACAGGCATATGCACACATGCTGACAATTGTTCTAAGGCGCTACTGCTGACACACACACACACACACACACACACACACACACACACACACACACACACACACACACACACACACACACACACCACCTGCTCAGCATATCCTTCAGTAGCCACATCCAAAGCAAAGTGCGATCCCAGAGAGAGAGACGTGGTTGGGAGACCTGCTGTGTTAAATTACACTGTGACACGACTCCTAACACATGACTCTTAAACACAGTCCCCGGCACGTTGATCATGGAAACTGATTAAGGCTTCCTCTCCATATGGGGGGACAGGGCTTCGAGTGTCTATGGGAGCTAGGAGCCAAAATGGCTTCTGCAGAGATATGCTTTCTTGATGCCAATCTAACAGCTGATGAGTAGATTGCAGTGATTACAGGACATACTGTAGTGCAGCAGGGGCGCCCTCACCCATCCACCCACCCAGACTCCCCCTCTCCTTCACCTCAGTATGAGCTGCTCCAGGGTCCTCTGGAAGGTGGGTTTGTGGCTCTGCTCCAGCCAGAACTGGGGGTAGTAGGAGTAGGAGACCTGTGTGTGTCCCTGGTTGACGTTGCGATAGACCAGGCTGTCGTGGGCCTTGCCCCAGTCCTCCAGACTAGAGTTGACCCGCTCCATCAGGAAGTACATCATCCCCCGGTTAGTGGAGTCACCTATGAACATTACCTGAGTGGCAAGAATAATGGTTTTGACTTGACAGGATCAAGAACACATGGGTTCTATTCATTAGGACACACCGTAGCAAAACATACCAAGCATTTCTTATTGGACAAGTTCAGGTAGTCCCTCCCTGTTTCAGCCTTTTTTCTTCTGTTTGCTACCTAATGAACATGGCCCAGTTTTCATTGAATTTTCACTCCAAAATGATTTCACTGTAGTTGACTGGTATGTATTTAAATCTATAACTGCTGACCTTTATGGCTGACTGCATCATTGCCAAAATGTGAACACATGAGAGGCAAAGCCCACTAGGCATACACTGGTTGAATCAACGTTGTTTCCACGTAATTTCAATGAAATTATGTTGAACCAACGTGGAATAGATGTCTGTGCCCAGTGGGATGCTTCTATTACGACCAATCAACATAACACAATCTGACATATCAAAGAAGATATAACAGTGTCCAGTCAGTGTCCAAATCAGTTTCCAGCTAAGCCAATCAGAGTGTGTGAAAGAACCTTTTCAAACACAGAACAGAGCCAAAACAGATGGACTGTAGTTTAGAGTGAGAGGTGGCAAACATCTCATCTCTGTGAAAGCTTCTGATTGTCCAAATCTGTTGAGGAGAAAATGGGGAATTCCAGAGAAACGTCATAAAACACGACAGCTGGAGCAAACTGACCTAACTCATAACTCATGTGTCAAATCACTATTGATACAGATACATATTAAAGTCTCCTGTCAGAAACAGTCAAGGGATGAAAAATGAAAGAGAAAGTGTGTGTGCGCGCACGGCTGTGTTTGTGACTACATTAGGCTTTGACATCAGGGACCACGGCGAGAGGGGTAGACGGGTAGGGTATGTGAGGATAGGAAATTGAGAGGCTCTATTAGCATTAGCTGCAATGTCAGCTAAAGTGGCTAAATTCCCACTTTAATCACACGTTCACACGGACCTCTGTCCTGGAAGTAACTGGCAACTCTTTCACAAACACCTACTCACATTCACTAGAGACAGCTTTCACTAAGCCACTACCCACATTCACTAGAGAGATTTGACTAAGCCTATAGAACACCCTAAGACTGTAAATGCCTAATATGTCTCTAATACGACGCCAGGACAGCGGAGTCACTCACCACCTTCCGGAGACATTTGAAACCCCACCTCTTTAAGGAATACCTGGGATAGGATAAAGTATTCCTTCTAACCCCCCCCCCCCCCCCCCCCCCGCCCCAAATTGTAAAGTGGTTATCCCACTGGCTATAGGGTGAACGCACCAATTTGTGAGTCGCTCTGGCTAAGAGCGTCTGCTAAATGACGTTAATGTGCCCTTGAGCAAGGCACTTAACCCTAATTGCTCCTGTAAGTCGCTCTGGATAAGAGCGTCTGCTAAATGACTAAAATGTAATGTAAATGTCTCTAAGGCAGTGGTATTCAAAGTCGGGGTTGCAAGCTGCAGTGGGTCGCCAAAATTTTAGTTTTTTTTAGGAACAAAAATTAAGAGTACAGATTATTGTATGGGGCAATATACAAACATTTTTGAGAAAGATGATTTGAAAGATACAATTCAATTGAGTAAATGTATTGGTTTCTTTTCATTTTGATAAAATATGAAAATGCAATGAATTTAAGGTTATATGTAAAAATCTAAATTTACAGATTTTAAGGTTGTGTCATTAGATTTGTGGTGGGATTGCAAGACATTATTGGGAAAAAATGGGTTCCCCAGAATTTCTAGTGGACAAAATGGGTTCCCCAGAAATTCTAGAGGACAAAATGGGTTCCCCAGAAATTCTAGTGGACAAAATGGGGTCCCCAGAAATTCTAGAGGACAAAATGGGGTCCCCAGAAATTCTAGAGGACAAAATGGGGTCCCCGCTGAAAAAGTTTGAATACCACTGCTCTAAGATGTATACCTATTATGCCTTATATATTTCCTGGGGTGATTTAACCGTTTTACGTTCCTGAGGGCCGCTCCATACAGTGACACCAGTGCAGCGAACTGCATGCCATCCCATTAGCATTACTGCAGTATTTGAGCAAAAGGCTGAGACTTTAGTTCATACAGTATACTGCTTCTGTCCCTCCACCACTCCTCCTGTCCTCAGCTCTGCCACCCCCTGCTGGGTTTATAAACCTATTCATACAGCGTCACATAAACCCCACTCTCTCATCACAGAGGCATCATACCATAGCCTACCTCATTTACCCTCACCACCTGGATTCAATGAGACGGAGAGAGGGAGAGAGCGAGAGAGAAAGAGGGGGGGAAGCGAGAAAGAAAAAGAAAAGAGAGATGTTTGAGGGATGTCTCAGCCCTCACATTAACTCACAAGGGAAATGTGCTAGACACTGCCTGTCTTGTTATCCTTACATGATCATCTCTGGCCCATCTTTAGACCAGATGCATGCTGGTTAGCGTAGTCTTAACACACATACTATATCTGCCCACACCTTTTTCACACACGCTAAAGAGCCTGACCAATACATCTGGCTTCCATATCATTCCGTTATCCCCTGTGCAATATCTCTCACACACATAGATATACAGTAGTGTGTGTGTGTGTGTGTGTGTGTGTGTGTCTTATGTGGAAAATATTAGCACTCTCACTGAATCTGTCGGCGCTGCTGTCTGGATCCATGGGTCATCTTTTATGACTCAGCTGGAGTGCCTTGTTAGCGCCAAGTTAGCGCCCGCTGCTAACCTATCCTAACTACCTCCTGCTTTTGGGGAACAAGCTAATAGCTAATCTGTACTGTTAGTAGGTTGTGGGACAGTAACCTGAGAAGAGAGCTAGCTAGGAACATGAGAGCAGTGCCTGAACTCAGGTCATGGACTATGGACATACACTGCTCGTCGAACATCTCATTCCAAAATCACGGGCATTAATATGGATTTTGCTGCTATAACAGCCTCTTTTGGGAAGGCTTTCCACTAGATGTTGGAACATTGCTGCGGGGACTTGCTTCCATTCAGCCACAAGAGCATTAGTGAGGTCACGGAATGATGTTGGGCGATTAGGCCTGGCTCACAGTCTGTGGTCCAATTCATTCCAAAGGTGTTCGATGGGGTTGAGGTCACGGCTCTGTGCAGGCCAGTCAAGTTCTTCCATACTGATCTGGACAAACTACTCTGTACGGACCTTGTTTTGTGCACGGGGGTATTGTCATGCTGAAACAGGAAAGGGCCTTCCCCAAACTGTTCAACACAGAATCGTCTAGAATGTAATTGCATGCTGTAGCGTTAAGATTTCCCTTCACTGGAACTAAGGGGCCCAGCCCGAACCATGAAAAAGCCCCAGACCATTATTCCTCCTCCACCAAACTTTACAGTTGGCAGGTAGCGTTCTCCGGGCATCCGCCAAACCCAGATTTGTCCGTCGAACTGCCAGATGTTGAAGCGTGATTCATCACACCAGAGAACAAGTTTCCACTGCTCTAGAGTCCAAGCTTTACACCACTCCAGCCAATGCTTGGCATTGTGCATGATGATCTTAGGCTTGTGTGCGGCTGCTTGGCCATGGAAACCCATTTCATGAAGCTCCCAACGATTTTTAAGAGCTACTTGCTTCAGCACTCGGCGGTCCTGTTCTGTGAGCTTGTGTGGCCGACCACTTCGTGGCTGAGCCGTTGTTGCTCCTAGACTTTTCCACTTCACAAAAACAGCACTTACAGTTGACCGGGGCAGCTCTAGCAGGACAGAAATTAGTCAAACTGACTTGTTGGAAAGGTGGTATCCTATGACGGTGCCACGTTGAAAATCACTGAGCTCTTCAGTAAGGTCATTCTACTGTCAATGTTTGTCTATGGAGATTGCATGGCTGTGTCCTCGATTTTATACATCTGTCAGCAACGGGTGTGGCTGAAATAGCAGAATCCACTAATTTGAAGGTGTGTCCACATACATTTGACCATGTAGTGTATGTGATCGTGTCTCAATGTCAACAAGGTATGACGTGATTGTTCTTTTCAAATACAATCTCTTTTTGGGCTTAGTTGTGGTCAATTTGCAGTGTACAAATTATTATAATTATGTTCCGGCCCCCCGACCATCCACTTCGACAAAAATCGTCCCACTGATGAATTTAGTTGCCTACCCCTGCCTTAGGGCTTACCTTCCTGTACATCATGCAGTCCTGCAGCTGGGGGCGGTCCAGCAAGGGGTGGTAACAGCCCTCGGGTTGCCAGGCAACCTCTCTCCAGTCACAGGTCCGGTTGTCGGCACAGCTGAGGCAAGGAACCACCCAACGACCTGGGGAGAGAAAAAGAGAGGGAGGGAAAGAAAGAAAGAGAGAGAGAAGAAGAGAGGGAGGGAAAGAAAGGGAGAGAGAAAATGAGGGCAGGCAATCAGACAACCAGAAGTGAATAAAGTGGATAATTGTTCCTGCTCCAAAAAACATAGTTATTACTGAATATAGATATTTCCATAAACAAGATCTCCACAGATTTTTCACCAGCAAAGCTTCACATCATGAGAGTAATCATTCTCCACACACACATCACATTGCTCTCCCTGTTGACATTTATTCTCTGCCCTGCAGGGTAGGATATTGGGTTTTAATAGCTGAGTTTAACCTCTGACCTTTTGCACTTAAATCAAAGGGCAGAGTGTATTGGCCGCTTAAAATCAGCCTTGCCTTGTACAGATACACACACAGCAAAGTTTCATATGGACATCTGGGCACGTATGCATAACATTTCAGAGCGATGATAATTATTTCTAAGTAGAAGATTTCTGAGGATCCTGTAGTGAAATAATTTTTCTGACAGTAATTCATAAAGCTTTTCAGCTACAGTGGGGAAAAAAAGTATTTAGTCAGCCACCAATTGTGCAAGTTCTCCCATTTAAAAAGATGAGAGAGGCCTGTAATTTTCATCATAGGTACACGTCAACTATGACAGACAAAATGAGAAAAAGAAATCCAGAAAATCACATTGTAGGATTTTTTATGAATTTATTTGCAAATTATGGTGGAAAATAAGTATTTGGTCAATAACAAA